TCATCCTATGCTCAGAATCCACCAAAATAACAAACTACCAATCTGAGACCTGAGAGATAAGCTCTCTCCAGTAGAACTCAGGGAAATTGTTAATTTTGACTTGTTTTTTCTTTTTAGATCAAAAAGCTTTTGCAAATTTGCATAAACCTTTGCACATTTGGGCTAAAGTTTATGCAAAACCCGAGAGGAAAAGAATGGGAGATATGAAAATTTGTGCTCTTTAAATTAGCAAATGAATTCCTGGCTTTACCAGAGGACATTAGAAAACATGTTTGTTGTGAATCCCAAGCATCATAGTATGAACAACACTTCCCACTAATGCACACCCACGCCACACCTTTGAGACTTTGGTTCAGTCCGTGTTTGGAGCAGATGGCTCTGGGTGTCCACATCCACTGTTCAATCAGCAGGGTGCCTAAGGCTTGGAATCACACAAATAGGCAATTTCTGCCACCCAGTAGACTTCAATGTTACAAGTGTTTTAAAAAAGCCGAGTGGAGCTTTTTTGTTGTTGTCATCCTCCTGGTCCCTAAACAAGTCCACATGACAAAGAAGCCTCAGCCTGGCCGCCAGACTCTGTGGTAACACTTTGGTGACTGCAGCAAGCTCAAACCTGCTAAGCTGCCCCACCAAGTGTAAGTGTGTGCACAGATATGATGGTGGCAACACTGAGAGGGGAAAATAACTTAAGATTCTTTTCCTCTCTGATGCTGAACAACTTCAGAAAACAATTATGTCGTTCTAACACTTGATATCATTTTTTGGGCTTTGCAAATGATACAGGCAGCTGAGGGTGCCCTGTTGAAAGTAACTAGTACTTGTTATTGGCAGGGAGAATGAGCCCTTTTCATGTGTTCATATTCTAACTATCAAATCATACTGACTCTGCTCACGGTTCATAGGTTTATCCCTAATTTGGCATCCAGCTCTGCATCAGATGTTACCACATAGTCATCTTCATTCTTTGGTGAATGTTTCAATTTCCAGTATTTCTTCTGTGCTTTGTCAGCTGTTTTTTTGACCTGTCTTGGGAGCAGAAATCCATGAGAGACTTCTGGTTTATGCATGTGTGTGTAACAGACCTGAATAGTTTTCAAGAACTGGGATAGAGTTAAAGAAGAGGAATGAATTCCCTGAGCATTTCCTGAAGGCTCTTCCAAGGGATTTCAGCTGTCTTTCACATGCAGTTTAGAACAGCTGTGGTCTGACTGAAGATCAGTACTTCCCTTTTCTAAATTTATAGATCACAGACAGTAGGAAGTGTGATGGGGGGACTCTTTTGGATAAGCAATATGGATTATTGGGATGTTTTGCTGTTAACTGGCTTATCATATTTCTACATACAGCTTTCTGTGAGTTCTGGTTTGCATCCAGAGGTCATTTCCAACATGTAAAGAAATTTCTTTGCTTAAAGTATACACTTTTGGCTGAAAGTGTAAGTACTAATCATAGAGCATTTATTTCAATGTTTATTTAGTTCTACAGTGTTTTTTCTATCAGGATCCCCTGTTGGTCACAGGCTGCTAGTTGTCCAATGGAATAGATTGCAAAGACATGGAAAATCAACATTTTGAAGTTTCAAGTCCGAATATTTGTGAAATTGCTACATAAATTTACATTTTTGTGGTTTGAGTTACGTTTTCAGCATTCCCTGCAGTACATGTCTTGATTTGGATGGCTCGATAGACTCATCCAGACTGAGCAGCTGTCTTTCCTAGACCAGACTTAGCCAGCTTCTCACTGGCAGCTGAAAAGCCACTTATTTAATGCAATTTACAGGGCAATTTAAATTGGCTTTCATGACAATTTCAACCCAAGTTTTGCCTGTAATTTGAGATCTCTGCCAATGAGCTTACATCAAGCAAAATTGGTGATTCAAACTTGATTGGACTTTTTTTGGCATTATAAATTGCAACGTAAGCTACTACAATTTGTCGTTAGCCAATGAAGTATCTGTGCAGGTCACTGTAGCCTTGTGCTTCTCAAATCCAGGCATTTACCCCTGCACTGGGGTGTGTCAGGGCCAGTTTGGCAGCCCCATTCTGACAGAGTAGAAATCTGAAGTGTGTTGACCTAGTTCTCATGAAGTTCTATTCTGATAAAACTGCTTGCCTTCCCCGCAGCAAGGGAAAAGAGCACACACTGAAATTTCAGAGAGGTCATGAAACAGATCAGCCTAAATCACATCCACTGCTTGTTTGAGACTTTTGTTTGTTTATTGTTGTTTGGAGGGGTTGTTTGCTTTTTTAAGAATCATGTTTATAATCACACAATTCTGGAGATAATTTCTGCCCTCCATTATTGCAGTAATGAGAAAAACCTTAAAAATTCTGGTAGTCTCCAAGTTATATCCATATTTAAGTAACAAGTTTATAATTAACAAGGTTTAAATCAACTTGAGAATGTAACAAAAGTGTATTTTTCCTTTGAGGAATCTGTGCATATGCCTATCTCATGCTTTCTGTTGCAGAAATGTCAGAAAATTCAGGACAAAACCTCATACCTTCTCATTAGTTTAGTTTTCATTAGAAGTGCATTCCTTTATGTTTCCTTCCAATCTTGCTGAAGCATTTTTGTTTAAATTGTGGAAGTCACTTTAAGCATATGTGGTTAGATCTGTTTCCTAAGGTATGCATGCTAAAATCCAGAGGAGTATTCAGGAGTTTATCCTGGATATTTATCAGCCTATACAAAACCAATTAAAACTTAAGTAAGTTTATCTTCACTAAGGCCAAACCTCACCCCAGGCTCTGGAATGTAGGTTGAAAGGGACAGGCAGAGCAGCAGTGGCTGGGGATCTCCATTGCTGGCCCAAACTCATATATCCACATTATCCACACACACGTTCAGGTTGTGTGCCACTGGAATATTTACTGTTTCCTTCCCCCTTCCCTTGTTTTTAATTCAATCTCCCAGTTAAGAGAAGACTGAGATTCAAAAAAATAACCAAATGCCAACAAGAGAGAAAACCAGTGCTCTGCCAGGGCTGGCTGTAGGGAAGGGATGGCAACCATCCAGAAGCAAAGACAAAATTCTCAAAGCAAGAAGAAAGCTGAAAGAACTAGATGGGTAAAAGGAAACACATGAACAGAAAATTCAAGTATGACACTAAGCCAGGGACCCAGCAGGTGAACCCTTGTCTTGAACTAATGCTTTTAATGTGTATCTTAATGCATGGTGGTGTTTGAACTGTGTTTATAGAGGCAGCACACACATGCTGGTGGGGCAGTTTATGCCAGGTGTCAGTGCAGAATGAAAAGACAGAAATAGAACTATGTATATTGCACAGCCTCTCAAAAACAAATCAACCCCACCTCCCACCAATAAAAAAGCTAAAGGGAGATTCAATCGTGCAGTAGCTGATTATTGTCTTTATTCCCCTCACTTGTAGTACCACTTTTGTGTTTAAGCAAAATTGGCAATTAGTACATAAAAATTCTTTTTGTGTTATGCTACTTGGGCACTAGGAATATACAGAAATGATTTTTAGGGGAGGAAAAAAAGTATTTTTTGTGAGTAGAGTCACCATCAGCACCTTGATTCTGGATTACCATGTTTTTGACTCAGTTCTTCTGCAGTTTTAAAATCAACTCATGTTGACCATTGTAATTTCACATGATTATTTTAAATGGAAGAGCTGCATGTTTCAAAGGAAAGTCTTATTAAAACATTTTATTTAAGATTACAGTTTATCCAAAGAACTGTCATCCAAATGTAAAAAGTATTGGTTTCAGGATAATTTATGGACGATGGTAATACAGATATATTCCAAAAATATGTTGTACTTACACGGTTGTCAATTCATGTTCATATGGTTTACTTAGTTCCTTTCTTGTCTGTTCCTTTGCCACAGTACTTTTCCAGACAAGAGGAGGGTGTAAAAATGCTCCTGCTTTTCATTATGGTCAATCAAAACCTACCCTCTTAGATACATTTTGTATATTTATTACAGGTGATAATAGATCTGAGGGATTCACTGTTTGAAACTGAAACAACTAATGCCAGCTGGGTTTTCTTGAGTCTAAATGTTAGTCTAAGATAAGCTGACACTTCAAGTGCCATATTTTTAAAAACTATTTTGTAAATCTTTCTGGGAAGGCAAGAAAACCATATTAAGGTTACTTACCTTTGATTCATGAGTCTTTAGACATAGGCATGTAAATTGTTAGTTGCAGTACTTCACTTGCAGAGCAAAGGGATCAGAGATCCTTTCCCTGTCCTTTGCCATTTTCACTAGTTTTGCCCTTTGATATTTCTTAAAGCTCCTTACTCAGAATTATATGTGTAGCGTATATATATAGTCTATATATATATATATATATGTATGTCTCTATCATAAACCTGGAGGTCAGAGATCTCTCTTCAAAGAAAAATCATTAATTTAAGCATTTGACTAGATAGTGCTGTACAGGTGCTACACTGAAAGCCAAGACATTGGTGAGGATATTCAGGTGTGGTCTCCACAGTTTAAGTGTGCTGGTTTAACATCACATGTATGTAATCTAACAAGCTGCACTAATAGATTTTTAATTTGAAGCTGAACTCAAAGCAAAACTACCAGCAGAGAAATTGAGCATGTTTGAATAGTGCTTACCCTCTATCAATCTAAAAGATATTGCAACTTTATGTATCTGTTCTAAGAACAAAATACTTCTACTTCTGCCTTCTCTGTGTAATCCACCATTGTTTTTACACATCTGCTTTTAGGACCAAGACACCACATTAGTGGTACTGCAAAACAAGTACTGTGGTACATGGCTGGCATTCTTACCTACAGCCCTAATTTATGAGCTACTAAAATATGGAATATTTAATCTGCCAGTAAATCTATCAAGTCCCTCTATATCATGCTATATACACTGCACACATACCAAATCTTCATCCTAGAAAGAAGCCTGGGTTCTTAATTAAGGACCAAATCGTAAGAACTGCCAACAGCCAGACTGAGAGGAGAGCTGAAATCTCATTTTTATCTGAAATGACACACTAAACCAATGAACTGTTGATAAAAGCTGTATTTTTTTTTCCAATGGAAAGCAGGTAAACTCAAAAAATAATTTAGTCAGTGAGTAGTTTTTCTGTAGGTATCAGCAAACAGTTTACTTCTTATTAAAAGGGCTATACAAATAGTAATTTAAAAAGATGTTCGTTCAAAGCCATCAAAAGGGAGGAAATGACTTTTGCTTTGTTTCACATGAATCCCATTTGGGCTTTGCTATTTTTCTGTGACAAATACAGATATAGCTTACCAATACAAAACCAGGAACAGCTCTCTGAGCAACAAATTCCTCCTTTCTTCTGAAGTTGATTGTGTAGACATGCTAATAGAGAGCAACTGCTGGAAAAATCTTTGTTTTTAAAAAAGTCTTCTGGCTGTTGACCTTCATGCCCCAACATCAGAGGCTGTAGCTGGGTATCTGTAGCAATACAGTTTGTTGTCTGCTCCTCCACTCAGTAACAGCTGATGAGAAAAGGAAACTGATTAATATCAGAACTAAGCAAAATAAGTACACAAAAGTTAAGGACTCCATTTTTCTTTCCTTTATAAAAAGTAGTAGTGAATAATGAACTGTTAATGCATGACTAAAACCCAGAATCCAAGTGTAGAAGCAACTTTGTCTCTTACTCTCCTTTTAAAATTGTAAAGTGAAACTTGTGTAGGAAAGTTGCTAAAGCTTTTCCTTACTTTTACAGTTGACAGGAGCCACACTGAGACTCTTGGAACATTCACAGAATGGGGGTTTTTGGTAATTTTAAATACGTGTGTACCACTACAGTAGCAGAACAGCTTGCTATAAAGGATTATACAGTTTCCCCCATCAACACGTACTGCCACACTTTACTTAATGCTGCTGATTTAGTCCCAATGGCAGAAGACTACCTTGGAACATGTGTTTTCTGAGGAAGGTGCAGTGCTGTTCTTATTCGTCCTTGTTTGGAATATCATTATAATTCTCAGTTAAAGCCACAGAGCTTCTGCTCCCACCATTCTCCTTTGCAGAGTGTGGGGACATGCTGCAGTGCCTGTGACACCACCACCCAGACATCAAACATCAAACACAGCACAACTACAACTCCTCTTCTAGCTTTAAGCATAAACAAGTAACAGCCCATGACTGCTTTTAGCTCTCCTAAACACCATGTGTATAAATGAAGTAACTTGCTCTTCAGATTCTTACCCCTGCTTCTGTCCAGTCCACACACAAAACCTTGTCTTCGTGAGCAGCCAAGTCATACAGAGGAGCTTTGCAACTAGTGAAAAACAGGTTTGAAGTTATGTGAGCAATCACAGACAACAACGGGTCCCAGGGAGAAATGCTATCCCAATGCTATCAAACAGATGTGATCAAGCAGTTACAAACACTTTGAGAGAGTTCAGATATCGACCATCTGTGATGCTTCCCCTGCTTTTCCCAGAGTCAATCACATTAATATTATCCTCTCTTACATCCCCAAAGAGAAAAGCAGCAACATTTTTCATCTGCTCGTAAACGACTTTGAGACTGAAATTCAATCAGTTGTGAGGAAGAATTTATTATAGCTTCCTTCTTCCATGTGTAGAAGCATGTTTTCCAGCCATGTGGTAGACTAAAAGTATTTTTCTCCCTTTTATTATATAGTTGACTTCCAAAACCTAGAGGTTTGGAACCATTTTCACAAATGCCACAGGTGTTTCCACTGACTGACTGCTTTTGCTATTTCATGAGGGGTAACTCACCCTGTAAGCTTACATGCCTTTGAACAGTAACAAACATGGGTTTATTTTACCTCCTTGTGTCCCAAAGCTTCACAATGTTGTCCAGAGAACCAGAGATGAGCTGATGCTCGTGGGTAGGTGACCACTTCACAGATGTCACCCAGCCTGTGTGAGAAGTCAGAGACAGGAGAACCAAGGAGCCATCTGAATAGGAAGAGGAAAAACACAAACATCAGCAACTGCTGAGACCAGTACTTTGAAGATGTGTACAAAATCCAGTGTGAATGCAGTTCAAGTTATGTGTTAACTGAACTTTAAATAAAGTGAACAAAAATGTAAGCCATACAAGTTCTGGGGAAGGAAAAAACCCAAAGAAACAAACCAAACTGAACAAAAGAGAAACCCAAAACCCCTTAAAATGTATTTTCTTGATACTAAACTTCCTTTTCAAAGTTTTTTTCTTTAAAGCAAACAAAAAAATTTACTTTTATTTACAACATGTAATATGCTAGTGAACTTTGGATTAGATTTACAGAAGCTAAACAAGTAAATGTTATTTACTATTTGTGGCCTTCCAGTACCCGAACAGAGCCTACAAAAAAGATGTGTTCAAGGCCAGGCTGGGTGGGGCTCTGAGCATCTACTCTGGTAGAAGGAGTCCCTGCCCAGGACAGGAGGGCTGGAACCAGATGATCTTTAAGGTCACTTCCAACCCAGACCATTCTATGAAATGTGTCTATGAAAATAAATCTGATAGGCTCAGTCATAGTATCTGTAATTCCATCTGTTTATGAAATACAGTACCATGTCCAAGCAACTACTGTTTCACTTTAATGATTATCAGACCAGCCTCAGTATGAGCCTCACAAAAACAAAAAACAATTCTGCAACTGCACAGTTCATTAGTAAGTTAAAAAAAAAAAAAATCTGAATTAGGTAAGAAATTAAAACAAGTCCTGCACCAGAATACAGAAAATAGATGTAAGCTTTGTCTTTAATAAAAGCCCAGAAATGGCTTGTTTCAAGCAGAGGGACCAGAAAGGTTTGTGAAATATCTCCTGACAGGACAGAGTTTTGATTTTGAAGAACATCTTTGAGACCACACATGTTTAAGCTCACCTTTGCTGCGAGGATCCCATAGTCTGATATGTCTGTCAGTGCTCCCTGATGCAAGACGTCGACACAGGGGTGAGTAGGAGACAGAATTAAACACTTTGTTTCCTGTCTGTCAGTAAAGAAAATAATAACTTTTAAGACAGGAGCTACTATTTTACACAGCTTTTTCTTTTTCTCTGAGCTGGACTTCAGCTGAACCTACAGCTAGAGTATAATGATCTCACCAAAGTTGATTTGAGATCTCCAGTCTCAGCATCCCAGAGTTTAATGGTGTGGTCCCATGATGCGCTGCAAATTTCTTCAGCATCTGACCACAGCACAGAGGAGATGGCTTCTGTGTGGCCAGAGAGGGTTGTCAGGGGAGTCTAGAATTTAATGGTGAGAGATTTGAGTTATCCAAAAAAATCTATTATTTCAACAAATAAAAAAGTATGATTATCCTGAGACATACCAGTAGAAATCTTAAAGTCACCTTTAGCAAAGAGAAATTATTTGTTGTGGCTACACTTCTAAAGAAAAAGCCTGGACAAACTCAGAGCTCATCTTACCCTTGTTAATCCCAGCTGTTCAGTTTTCTGCTTTTTCCGTGGCCTGTTAGCTGCTTCTTCCATTTCATCTTCCTCATCTGTAGGTACTGGGACAGAAGATAGACAGACTTGAGCTATGGGTTTTTGAATTCCATCTCCATGTAAGTAATTAAGCAAATCCCCATATTTATGGTGCCTACAAACATCATGCAGGTGATACCAACATCTGAAATTGTGTAATTAACCAAACCAGTAACTCAGCATAGTGATGTTTAGCCTTACAAACTTATATCTTACCTGCAGACCAGATCTTTAACATCTTATCCCAGGATCCACTGCAGAACTGCATGAACACAAAAATTTTGTTAAATGTTGATCCAAATAGACATGGGAAGAAAAACCTGCGTGAAAAACTAACCAGAGGGTTATAACACACAAATAACAGTGCTGGGCTCCTAAAATTCCCCCCAAAATGTTTGGCATACATCAAATTATTCTTTTTACTTCCTTTGTAGGAAAAATATCCAAAATTACTATTTCCTTCATCACCAAAAAGTTTGACTTTAACCTATCTGATATTGAGTCAAGCTGGAAGCAATGACTCACCTTTGGTGGGAGCGCTCATAACTTGAATTCCTGGGTGAAGGAAAAGAACCTCTTTGCCACCTGCTTTTTCCAAGAACTCTGGAAATTTTTTCCCACCAAAACCACCACGAAAATTTAGGTCAAATTTGAAAAAAGTTCATTATAGCACAAAATTCGCATGCATTTAAAGTAAAATACATTTTAAAATTTAAGTTGTTTTCTGAACTAAATGATTTTCTGACTCTATGGCTTAACAGTGATATAAGACTCCTAATTCTCAATAACCACCACTTATAACAAGACCGAAAAAACTGTCACTGTGCCACAAAATCATGATGATGAATACTCATGCAAGGACAAAAGCAGGGATTTGCAAGCTGCTAAATCCCAAAACACAAAGCTTTCTTTCCAGAAGTCACTCACTTTGGTTCTTGTGCAATCAACAGCCACGGACTCGACACTTCCAGCGTGTCCCCTACAGCAGTGAAGGGCTTTCACTTTGTTCTTCTCCACGTTCCACTCCCAGAGCAGAACAGTTTGGTCCATGGAAGCACTGAGTAACAGGCACGATAAACTATCTGAGGAAGAAAAAAGGTACACTCACGCCCAACTCAGCTTTCCAAAGTCTTTATAAAAAACTACTCTAATCCTAGGAGAAACAGCAGATAGACAGAAACTTACACGTGTTTCAGTTTACATCTTGTTACCCTGCAAGTACAATTAATGTAACTACATATACGCCAGTATTTGCTAATGGAGACTACAAGGTGGATAGACAACAAACCTCTTAAAGTAACTATATTCATTATTGTCAAAGCACTATTTTATGCACACCAGGACTTCATTTCTTATACCACTGACAGAGATTGAAATAATTACATTTAGATAATTAAATGTTCATAGTTAAGGAATGCTAACATTTGTCCCCCAGTAAATCAAACTATTTCCCTGCTGTATGTACTGACCTTGCTTCACCCACGCCACATCCTTCACTACTTCTGTGTGCCCAGCTATTGTCATGATGGATTTTCCTTCCACAGACCAGATCCGAGCAGTCTGATCGTAGCAGCCAGTTAATATCCTACACAGTACAGCATTGGAAACATCACTGTCTTTAGGACCAACAAATGTTTTACTGAAATAAAGCTTCAACAATAAACTTGGAAAACTAGTAGCACAGTAGCTGGTTTCAAAGAAATAGCTTGAAAGAGGAAAAAAAAATCTTTTTGCTAGAGAGCAAAGCTTCATTAATGCCTTGCTACTGGGAGGCCAAGAGTACAGGCTAGAAAGACAAGCAGTGAGAGTACTGCATGTCCTGGTTGATGGGACTTAAGATCCCTTATATAATTTACATAATTCAAAACTTAATTTTTAGTTTTAGTATGTTGCCAGAGGTTCTCAGAGCATTTTCAAATCTCTACTTAAAATATGAACATTACCTAGTTGATTGGAAAATGAATGTGAAAATATAGTAAAAGAAGACAATTATGCCTCTTTGGCTTTTTTTCAAGAAAATCTCTGTAGAAAGGTAAGCTATTCTATTTGGTGCTAATGGGTGTCACATTGGAAGTCAAGGGTTTAAGCAAAAAAGAGATGACGAAAATTTGCTTTCCTCTAAGAAAAAGGACACTAAACAGTATTTGTTTTGTTCATTTGTATAAGCAATATCTCAAGTTTAGTGTCTCTAGCTGTTTTCTACCTGTGTTGAAGTCCCTGTCATGTGACAGTGTAACCAGCAAACTGCTTATAAAAGCAAGTAGCTGACTGACTTGACAGGTTAAAAAAGAAAAATAAAGAGAGAAAAAAAAAACCACCAAAAGGATTATGAAAGATTATTATTACTGCTCTATTTGATACCATGGAGGAACATGAATAAGCAAGACAAAACTTAGAACTGGCTTAGTGTGGTACCATTCTTCAGTGGCTTGAACAGAACTGATCCAGTCATCATGGAAGATGCATTCTTCTGGCTGAGGGGCCATGTATTTCTCCACATACTCTATTTCCACCACTTCTTCCTGAGCTCACAGACAAAATACTTATTTAGTGATGTAGCATGGATTTTTTTAAAATCACTAACAGTAACATTTAACTGTAGTGTGGCACAAATATACAAGTTTATTGAGCAGAGGTCTTGGTATCCAAGTCCTTTGCCACATCAGTAGAACTGAAGTATTTATAAAAAAAGTGTGAATTACATTGCTTTCCATATTTTTATCAAATTACTACTAATAGCAAGCTAGAAACAAAAGCAAGCGCTTTTACTCTTCTTATATTCCTCTTCTTCTATATTTACTAAACAAAACTGGTGTCTAAAACAGTTTGCAACATTTTCTAGAGGTAATATTAAACATCCCCATTATCCCCCACCATAAGAGACAAAAATATATTAATGATTAACTGAGTAAGAGAAGAATTTCCCCTCTGAGCTGTACACAGACATCAGACTGGATAACATTCCTAGCACTTCTCTGTCTGTAGTCTCTAATCACTGCAGTTCATAATGGATTTAAAAACATAGGGAATTCTCCTGAGAAAGTCAGAAAAGAAACGAAACTGAGCAAGAAAATCTACCTAGCTGACAGTGTAGTATATAAATCAGATTGTAGTAAACTGGCTAAGTCTGTTCTACTGTCCAAGAAGAAGAGACACTGAGTATGACTTACTGTGGAAATATTTTCCATTTCCATGTGTGTGACCAGCGGCAATCGCAAGAACTGGCCATTGATAAGGAAGTCAAATTCCACATACTTGTGATCCTCTGAAACAAATTGGAAAAAAACAATGTTCAGGTGTCATTATTCCTTTGATACCATCAAGAATGGCATCATTTTGTGACTGGTTCAGGAAAACAGAACCAGGAAGAGTTTAAAAAAGACCCAAACATAACCCCAAAATAAATGACAACAAGAACAAAAACCCCAACCAATTAGTTTCTTCTCCCAGTTTTAAGTGGGCAGCCCATTACTTCGACCAGATTATTTAAGAGGGAGGAAAATTTTCTGTTGGGTTCAAAGAGTTGTTTGCCTCTTGTTGTAATTTCTCTGTAGCTATGTGTGATCAAATCCCAGCGGTGCTTCCTGACAGTTCTGTATGGATCTTTCCACTTGTTACCACCAGCTAGAGCCCTGCATTTGTGACAGCAGTAGGATATTCCTAAGAACTTTTGGTTCATAAATGGCATAATTGACAAAAGCGCTGCATTTTGGCAGAAGCACTGCACTGTGCACTAGTTTTCTGTTCAAGATTGTTTGCAATGTCATGGGTCAAAAGCAACTTGCAGAAGGCTCAAGACTCAGGCTGTAATACCTTGGGTCAGTACCCAGTTTCTTATAGGAAATGGGATATTCCAACAACATTGGACAAGTGTCTTTCCCCAGATAAGCTTTCAAGTCAGTCGGCCCATTTCAGCACTGACAGAATAGCTGAGGGGTTTTTTTAAAGGCTGTTATAAAAACCAAACCTCTGGTTTCATTAGTTCTTGAGCCAGGTTTTGGGCAACACGTCCGTTCCCATCTGCTGTGGCAGCCTGGGCACACACGTTATTCCAGCCTTTGGTCCATTTCTCCTGGGGATGCCCAGCAGCCCCGGTACCCGCAGCGTTTCAGACCAAGTTCCAGCAGTGCTGTAGGCACTGCAGCAGCCAGGCCGAAGCAGCGGGGCAGGACCGGCCCGGGCTGCCCGGCTGTGACAGCCCCGCGGGGCCGGGCCCGGCCTGGCGACACGAGGGCTCCGGGGGCCGCCCCGCCGCGGCACCTACCGTGCGCTGCCGCCAGCAGCTTGTTGATGAGCTGGCTGAGGTCGGTGGTCTCGGAGGTCGTGGGCACCGAGAAGGGCACATCCTCCACGGCGAACCTGCGGGCACAGTCCTCCGTTACCGCCTCTGCGTCACCCGCTCCCGGACCCACCCCCGGCCCGGGAGGGGAGGCCGCTCACCTGCGGTTCTCGGTGCGGAACCGCGCCGTGAGCTGCGCCATCGCTGCCGCCGCCGCTGCTGCTGTCGCCAATCCCGGCACCGACCACGTGTCGCGGCGCGCCCCGGCCGAGCCCCCCGCGGGACCGCGCACCGCCCGCGTGCCGCGCGCCCGCCGCGCTCCCGAGAGGCCGCGCGCCACCGCCTTCCCGGCGCTCCCCGCGCGCCCCCGCCCCGCTCCGCGCTGAGGGCGGGCGCGCGTGCGCGGAGCGGAGGCGCGCATGGCGGCGGGGCTGCGGGAACCGAGCCCAGGTGGAGTAACGCGCCTCCGGCATCTCCCCCCGGGCCGCCCCGACGGGGCCTCGGCCGGCGCCTTCCGCCGCGCCCGCCGCGGGGCTGTTGTGCCGAACGGTGCGACGGGCGCGGGCTGAGGCGCCCTCCGCGCTCCTCAGGGCTGGGGCGCGGGGGGCGCGGTGCGGGTCCCCGTCAGGTGCGGGAGCGGCTCCTGTGGCCGCGCTGTGCCGGGCCGGGCAGCGCCCCGTGTGGCGCCCGGGGTCACTGGAGTGGTGCTCTCCAGTGCTTGGAGTCACTCGGGTTGTGTTCCTCTGCGTGTCAAGCGACACACCCACAATAAACTGCCTACCAGAAGTAATAAACCCGACGCGCGGTGGACTTTAAAAGAAGCTGTAAGTGAGTTTGGTGCTTTGGGAGGCTGCTTGTGTGAGGACACGCTGTGTGCTTGCGTTGTGCGTAGATTTATTTTTTTTTCCCCACCTTTTTGACAGTCCTTCGTGGCCTCGGGGAACAGCTCGCCTTTCCTGGAGTGGATTCGGGTTTTGGTGACTCCGCTTGTTGGAGCGGGCGGGTGTTGAGTGTTTGCTGTTTCGTGAGGCTCTGAAATCTCAGCTGTTTCTTAAGTATATTTCAAAGACCTGACGTTGTTGGTCAGCGAAATTGACGCAGGTGCATTTTCCAGTTATTGGTGTTGTCTACAAAAAACTGACTTGAGAAACCTTTTAAGTGTGAGTCTCCAGAACTTCTCTGTATTCTTACCAGCATCTGCCTCCTCTTCCATGATAGAGATAATGCTAAATCTCAAGCCTGGTACAAGTTGACAAAGCTAATTGTAACTTCTTCACTGGGGAGTATCACTATGCCCTAATTTCCTCCCTGATATGTTTTACTGTAATTCATGCCTTTGTGAATTTGTGCCACTCTGAGTGGTTGTAGAGAAATGCCCACAGAGGGACCTTTTTCAGACAGCGTGTTTGGGTTGCTGTAAGCTATGCAGTTATCTGAAGTCTTCTTATAAAACTCTGCAAGGTTTTGCAGGAAACCCTAAAGAGATTGATGGTGAAGCATTCAACTGTATGTATTTTCTGTTAAGTAGAACCAACACCCTGCATACGGTGCTCATGATGGTTATCGTGTTTGCCTGTGCTAGCAGTTTCTATGGCTGCTTGCTGTCTTTGTAGAGGTGAACCAAGGACAGCAACGGCCCTAGATTTCCCTTTATTTGAGAAAAGCACTTCCCAAATGGAACAGGGTGAAAGAAATAGACTTGTGGCATTAGAACACACTAACCCACGTGTTGGAGATGGCCCTGGAATGCTGGACTGGGGAAGCCGCCTCTAAAGTGGTGGGGTGGAGTTGTGTTAAGGTGAAAGCTGAGGCATAAGGAGCTGCCTGTGTGCTTTGGGGATGCAGCTCTTGTTCCCACTGTACACTAACATTAATCTTCCACATTTTTCCTTCAGCTGACTGTTAAACGTGTGCTACAGTGGTGTTACAGTGGGAATTTTTGTGGTGCTAACCTAATGTTCATGAGGAGGTGCTTACGTGTTATTTACACATTCATGACAAAATAGCCATATACATACATAAATGTACAGAATTTAACTCTTCTGCTTGGGGAATTAGTTAGCAATATTTATACAACTATAAAATCTATTAACTGTGTATGTACTTGTATTTCTTTAAGACAAAAAAATAATAATCTTTGTTTGTGGTTGCACACAAGCACTTAGATTGATGAAACCTAGATGGTTAAACCATGAAGTTGATTTTCCAAGTGATGTGTGTGCCTGTGGTTTGCCTGGAGTACAACAGTGATTAGACAAAATAATGGGGCAAAATTGTACCACAGGGATTATTTTAAACACAAATATAAAACTTCAGGTATTTCTGGGCTTCTTATGAAAGGAAGCTGGATAAATATCACTGTGTATTTACCCTACTGCTGGATTTTTTTAAATTTGTTATTAATTATTGTTAGATAGAGGATGTGGGGCTGCCTGGGTCATTGGTCTGTCCCCATAGAGCTGTCCTTGTGTTCTGTTGTTGGGTTCCAGCATTCTCAGAATATGTGTTGTCAGTATCTCTGGAACAAACTCAGTTTATCTCAAAGAATTGAATGTGCTGCTTTTGCAAAACTGCCGTCTCTATGTCTTTGAACTGAGAGGAAATGGTTGAGTGATGATGAAATCTAGTTTTCTGGGTTTGGTTTTTTTTTTTTCCTTTGCTGCTAAGATGCTTCAGATATTGTAACTGAAACATCTTATAATTGTTCTCAGATCCAAAGCACAAAAATATTTGGTAAACATGAGATAACTTCATTTGGAACTTGGTTTGGAGTGTCATCACTTGAAAATTGCATGGAAAAATAAATCTGCTTTAGATTAAAGTATTAATATATTGAGCATATGAGCAGCTTAACTTCTCAATGTTGTTTGTATCAGCAGGATACTTTATTCAGCTTCAAAAGCCAAGGAGATGTGGATTTACTTTGCCTGTGTCCTTTATACCTTTAAAGAGCAGAATACATCTGTGCTCTAAGAGTTGTAGAGTTCTTTTGAAGTTGCTCTCTGGCCTATTGCAGTCTCCTTACACAAACTGTAAACAGTTGAAATACCACAGCCGAGAAGGTCCATCTTGAGGAATTTACTTGCGTGGTGTGGTGAAGAAGATACAGCTGGTAGGAGTTGTGCTAATATAATGCAGCCTGCCTTTAAAATAAATACTGAAGAGAAAAATCATGACTCCCCTTCTCCCTTCTTAACTCAAACTACGGGATTTAAGTTTTCTTCTGTTTAGTTGGTTATGTTATGCATGTAGTCTTATATATGTATGCTCTTGCTAGGTAGGGGCCAAGTTAATTGTCATTTTGTCCTGTTGCTTGTGCATGTTTGGGAGTGGTCACTGCTTTAAAGGGTGTGCTGTGTGCGTGAGAGCATTATCCTGTGGATGTGGCAGTTCACTGTCCAATATTACCAGTCTGTTTGAAGGTTTGTAATGGGTAACTGAGTATCTTGCAGCTTTCTTTGAGATAGGAGGTAGATCTCTGAAGTGCTGGGAGTTCTGTCTTTTTGTCTTTCACCACGTAGCTAATGCCAAATTTTGTTTTACATGTCTGGTGTTTTTTTCCTGCCCAAAGCACACTGTAGACTAACAATAGTAATTTTATTTCATGTATATACTGCCTTATAAGCCTTTAAAACAAATTGATTTACTTCAAGATGTCTGCATGACAGAGTTGCATAATGGAAATTTGGGCTGCTGATTATGGAAGAAGGTGACTAATGTATTTATAAAGCACTGCTGGCATGTGCTTAAATATCAAGTGTTCTCTCGATGTGCGTGGTTGTTGGTTCAGTGCTTTTGGACATATTCAGATGAAAATGGTGGGAGGGTGTATGCGTGTTTTGTATCTGTGTATGCAATGACAAGTCAAGCAAATTGTCTCATATAAAAGGCTGAGCTATACTGGAGCAATACACTGAAATTTTTCTGCAGTGAGTCATAAAGTGATAAGGAGACAAGCGTTTCTTGAGAACTTTGCTGTTATCTTGCAACAGCATTAGAACTTGTAGCACTAAATTTGTAAGATCTAAAGACAACACCTGCAGCAATCTCCTGGCAAAAGGCTAAAATGAACTTTTATAACTTTTTCAGGTCACCTTGTAATGGAAGAAAGTGGAGCTGACCATGATATTGCTATGGAAGGATCTAATGATTTGCTCATAGGCAGCTGTAATGGTACAGGAGAGTCAGAAACAAATGATCAAGTTTTTCAGGTGAGGTATGAATGCTTTGTCCTTGTAGATGCTTCCTTTACATCCACTCTCATGAGTTCAAATTATGTTATTTCATCAATGCAGGTTTTTTTTCTTGCCTTTAGAGTAATACATCGTATCTTTTAGGAATGTACATCCTTCCCTTGGATTCCTGTGCCATTCAGTTTTGAACTAATGAATATCCAGATGTTACACGTAATGACAGCACTGCAGTGATGAAGAAATGCATGTTTTATTTTGTTAACCCTTTAAGAAAAGAATACTTTATGACATGTTGGAGTAGGAGAGGTTCAGAACGGGTAAAAAGGAGGTGGAATTGCTTAGTGACCAAATGTGACAAATAAAGAGTCCAGGAACACAGGACACCTGTGTATTTATTGAGGGAGAGGAGTCTTTAATGTATTTTTTATCAGATATTGCCAGATCTTATCTGGGGAGATTTCTGTGCATGAATGCTCTTCTGCAGAATGTTCTTCTAACATAAAATGTCGTTCACATAGTGTTTTACTTGTGTGCTTGTGATCTCTGCACAATGTCTTTAACACAACAGGTGTCATTTGTTTGTTGCTGCTTTTCTGGTGTAGTTCACAGTAGACAGTTTCAGCACAGAAGATTTATACCTGCAGTATTTTTGATGAGGTTGTTTAGATCAATACTGACTTTTATGTAAAATTTAGAAACATTTTTCCTCATTCTTTGATTTGTAGTGTATTAATTTTTGTTGCAAAAACATCAGAGTTGTTTGTGCAATTGCTGCAGGAGATACAACAAATTTTAGCTCTTCTTGCATTGGCCAAATGACATGTTATTGTACACAAGGACTGCCTAATTTTCCATTATTTTTACATGCTTAATATTTGTCTTGTCAGAGTTTCAACAAGACAAGTATTTGTGCCTATGCACTTAAATATAATGAAAATGGGAAGTACTCTAAGATTTTGGTTCTGCAAACATGATGAAGATGCACTCTATTTTTTTAAGATTTTGAAAATCTGATTCTTGGCCTTGTGCTGTACAGTTCTTGGCCTTGAATCAGAGATCATGTTGCTTGTGTTTCTTCTGTGGTAAACAATTTTTAAAGTGTGTAGAGATTTTTTTCTTCATAGCTAAATGCATGTATGGAAAGACCGAATGGAATAGTATCTAGGATTTCTTCTGAAGTCAAATCAAGTTGGTGAATATTTACAGTTCTGTTTTTGGTGTAAATCTCGGTTTGAGATGTTTTAAAGTGGCAAGTGGTTTTGGGGAGCAGATTTTGAGCAAAAGGGATTTTCTTTTGCCTTAGTAGGGAGACTTTGTTCTAGGAAGCAGGAATATGAATACTTTTTCAGCATGGAAATAGAAAACAAAAGTAGAACTGCTAGTGTTAGCCTTTTATTCCAGAAGGACAAGAGCTCCTCTGAGTATACAGTATAGCAAACTGGTTTTAAATGTTCTTTTTCTTGTTGTTTTGTTTTTTTTCTCTTCGTAGAAGTTGCTACTCAAAGTACGTTTTACTATTTTTCCTCTGTGAAAGCAACTAACGTGCATGGATTCCAGGGATCCATTGTTTGGCCAGAGCGACTCTCCCCCAGCCCTGCCCGTCACAGTCCCCCTCTCGGGCAGTCCTCCGGCATCGGCTGTGCCGGCGCGGCCGCCCCAGCCACGGTGCCGCTCTGCAGAGGAATTGCACGGGGCAGAGCAGCCCAGGCAGCCCCTGTGCGAGCTGCAGCCCCTGGGAGGGCCCAGTGCTCCCATGGTGAGTGTCTGCACGTGGGGCTGGGGCTGCGTTCACAGGTGAGGGAGCTCTTTGAAGAACTCTCTTACTTGGTGCTTTGTGGTAGCAACAGCTGATTCAGACTTTATCTCTAGCAACAAGGTGGAGCTTTTCAGTGGTACAGTTCATGCTCCAGTTGCCCTTCTTCAGGTAGGCAAATCCCGTCTGCAGCCATTACTAATTTTATTAAACCATGACTGATGTCTTTTGTTAGTACCAAGCCTGGATGCTGTTGTGTGATAAGATCTTGTATTTCTACTGCTGCTGCTTTCTCTATATTCCCTGGATAAATATCTTTGTGGTTTTTGGGGGGAATGAGAACATTAGCAGTAAGCTACGTCACTATGTCTCACCTTTCCCCCAGCCCTCAATTAATTTTTTTAAATGCTGCTTTGTTATTTGTAACATCTATTTAGTAAAAAAGGTAACTCTCTCACCCAGAATCCTTTGTAATTATGGGTAAAAATACCATAAAGAGTTGTTCAAGTTTTTCAGAATCCCAGGTGATTTAATTTGGGGTTTTTTTTTAAGCCCTGGACTTTTCTTCTCTCTGCTTTTGCATGAAATGCTGCCATAGAGATCAGTTTCTTAGAAGTAATGGTCACAATTTTTATGTTACTATTAGTTCTTCTAGTCCATTAATGGAGTTACAGCGAATCCAACTATGAATGGCTTTCAGGTGTTTGATAGCTTTAATAAGAGAGTTGTCAGTTTCAAATAAATGTGTCATTCATTACAGAATCAGGTAAAGTAGTGTGTTTTTGGTTTTTTTTTCCTTAATTAAAGGCCTGTTTTAAAAGGGGAAAGTAATTTTAAGAAATTGACAATGAAGAGACAATTTTCTTATTAGGTAAAGTCAAGTAAATACACAGGCCCTAACTCTAAGCAAAGTATTTCCTGTCCTGGTAGTAATCAAAGCCAGTCGTGCTGCATGATCACCATACAAACTGGAGCCCTTCATGCTTCTGTGTGACTGCCTTGCAGATGATTGTTGCCAGCCAGTCAGAAAATGGACAGGTGCTGCATGTCATTCCTTCTGCCCAGCCAGGAGTGACCCAAGTGATTATCCCTCCAGGTCAGCTTCTGGATGTGACCAGCACACAGGGTGAGTTTAACCTGTGGGGCTTGAGGGTTTGTGCTCTTGTGACTAAGCTCATCCTCCATTTTTTAAGCACCTTGTTTCCTTTCCTTAGTCAGTTATAAGAGAAAATACACACTGAATCTGCATTCTGATTCTGAATCTGGTGCCTCACACATCACATTTTCTGTTGGGCAAAAGCCTCATGGAAGCTTATGAGAGCTATTTTGCCCCCTTTCTGAAGGGTATGTGATAGGTAGATTGACATACCAAGCACGGAGTTGTTGTGCCTTATTTACCATTAATAAGGATATTTATGCTGTCAGCTGTACTTCAACTTCAAATTTTCAATGTTTACTTCATTGTGAATGAACTAATTGATTCCTGTAGTGCAGACAGGCCAGAAGAACATTAAATCTTCTGTTCCAGAGATTGCTGGTGATGATGCATCTTCTGTGAAGCTAAGAATGAATCACTTGGGTATAAATTCAGTTCTCAGTCAAGGAAAATGACATGTAACTTTCCATTCATTGGAATGTGTTAGTTGTTACGTTTTAAGTATGTGCTGAGATACACAACTAGAAGCACAAATTTTAAGGTTTTCTTTAGAAAATGGACATACTGAAATCTGAAAGCATTGATTATTTATCTGCAATCCTTGCCGGATGGCAAGATGCTGTGTGCTAGTTTGTATTCACAGAGTGAGGCAGAGAACGAAGTGGTCACATTTCGTTAAACTCTGAAACGTTTTTTAAACTGTTTTTTCATCCTCTCTATAAAATTCTCAAGATTTGAGCGCTGGTTAAGTGTTCTATGGAATGGTAGCTCAGAGTAAGAATAGAGTCCTGGTGCTGAGTGGATGGAAGAAAGATTTGGGATTCAAGTCATGATCTAGCCCTTTTCACTTAGGGTTGCAATATGGTTCCCTGACCTTGCATTGAAAGACTTGTTCCTACCCCAATGCTCAACCTTCCCTCCCTCTCCAGCTTTTGCAGGGGTAAAACCAGGTTTGGTTACAGCAGGGTCTTACATTATTTTAAAGCCAACTGGGAGCCTTTAGTTACAAAATAATTGCTGCTACTCTTTGTAAACACTAAGTTGAAATACTAAATAGTATTTTGCATTTCCATTTTTCATTGAACATGGGGCTCAGTGTCATAATATTTGAATACGTGTTCGGCAGCAGTGCTATGGGTGTCATTTGTGGAGTTTTTTTGGTTTGTTTTGGTTTTTTTTCTGGAGACTTTATAGTGACTTTACACAGTTTATGAAGTATAAGAGACTTTATAGTGATTTGGTCTTTAAAAGACAGTTGGGGAAACTTGTCAGCAGTTTACTGTGCAGGTGAAAGAGAAAGGAGAATGGCCTGTCAGCCTCTGAGTTTCACGTGTCTGCAAACGGTGGTAATGCATGCAATGGTGCAGACTCCAGAATAGCCTGCACTACTGCCTGTAGTGTCTGTCGTGGCTTGAGGGCACATCTCTGTAGGAGGAACCAGTGCTTTGAGCCAGAGTGGTGTTAATCCGTGTGCACACTTATGAATCTTCTTATGGAGCTTTGTGTGGATGAATTTCTGTACTGTGTCAATAGCTTACCACTCTCCCTGGATGAGGAAAAGAAGCTTTCATAACTGAAGGGCAAAAGTCCCTCATTTAAAAGAGACCTTGTGTGTTTATGTTAAGACCAAAATATTGAATGTCTGCTTTCACTGTTTTCCATTATGTTTTTGTTTAACTGTTTTGTTTAACACACAGACTTCAATCTAAGAACAATTTTTGGCTTGTGGATTTCTCCCTATTACCAAGAAAGGCTAAAACATTTGTTCTAACAGCATGTCAGATTCAATTACAAGAGGCCTGTTTTTCTTGTTTAAGTGTTCTTTTCTAAGTACAAAGCCGTATCATTACCTCATATTTTCTTGTTTTAAAAGCAACCACTATGTGACTTGCAGCTGAACAAAATACTTGTGCAATCCTATATGGATTCCTGGAAGCAGAGAAATTTGCAAGTTGTTCTGATTATTTGCCTTGTTGTGGAAGGATTCATAAGCAGTAGCACAATTACCAAAGTCCTTAAATATAAGCAGCCTTATCAAGTGTATCTTCATATGTGTGCCAGGAGTTTGAGCACTGATTCACAACTATTAGACTACTTTATCACCTTTAAAACTTCTTTCCTATGTCAAAAGGCTTGCTTTAACAACACACAAAGTTTAATCATAGCTTGTTTTTCCCCATGCTACATTCAGTTATTAACCAAGAAGTTGCTTTCTTTTTTTAATGAAGATATTTCAGAAGAGAAGTGTGGTGATGGGAACCTGCAGACTGTAGTAGTGGCTTCTATAGCAGACAATGCAAGCAGTTACATTCTACATCCACAGGCATCTCTCACCATATCAAAAAAAACAACCACCAGGTAGGTCAGGGGTTAAAGGGATGAACAATCACTTTGATCCACTGCTAGCACTGCCTTTTTATCTTGCAGTTTGTTTTTGCAATGGTTATGCAAAATTACTATAGAGCAGACGTTATGAACCCACAGTGTACTGAATGTTTGGAGGACTTGAATGTAGAAACCAGTGGGGTTTTTTTAATACTTTTATTCACTGCAACTTATTTTAACAATGAAATAGAATATGAAGAAAATGAACCACAGATTTTTAAGGCATGTTGATACAATATCCATAGTTTGATTGTATGCTCTAGGGTTATATATAATACACTGATTTGATCTTACCTGTAATTTAAACTAGGTTGTTGCTTTTCTGAATGTCTATATAGACTTCTATTTTTTTTTTTTCAGGGTAGTGGAAGATTCTTTTCCCATCCCTCTTCAGCCGTTGCCATTAAATACACCTGCATGGGCACACCGGCTCAGGAACTGTGAGGTGGGCCACAAGGAATTCTGACCTAATGTTTTATCATCCAGCTCTGAGATAGTGTTCCTATTCCTTGAAAGGAATAATTCATAGCTGTAGGAGTGTTCAAGCTTCCTAGTATTTAGCACTGGTACTGCTAGCACAGTTAAACACATAAAATGCTGTGAAATCCCTTTCTTTTTTGAGAGTTTTAGAATAACTAACCATCAACAGCTCCTGAAGTAAAAAAGAAGTGCTGCTGAAAACCTGATACCTTGTAGTGCTGGGAAGAGGCATTGTGTGCCATATTAGAGTTTGCTGTTGAACAACAGTGCAGACTTTGCTGATTTCTGCAACTGTTCATGTAGTTTGTGTTATCACATAGAAATCAAAATCCATGTGACCCGCCAGTGTCAAGTCTGAGACATAATGCACCCTAATTTCAATATTCCGCTAAGGATTCTTATTTTAGATGGTCTTGCTGATTTTTTTTATTTGTCCCAGCACGTTAGGTTACTTGTGCTTGTTTTCTCTTTTGTTAAAAAGTGCTCTTTCTTTATGTTCTGTGATGGCTTTTGACCTAAAGAGAACTCTTCTTTTTTGCATATTGGTAGATATTTGCAGAACTGTCCTGATTAGGATGCTGTCAGCAGCTAGAATGCATCATAAGTCCCTTAACTGGAAGGGAGGGGAGATGGGAAATTTCTTGAGAGATCAACTACCCCTTCCTCCTGCTGCCAGACTCTTCCTGATAGATGTTTATTTTACTTTATCTTAATACATTTTAAAAGGAAAGCTCATACTCTGTAGCTGCCTAATCTCTTTAGATATCTCTACCACTTTTTTTTTTTTTTTTACTATTGGTTTGGCCACTGATAACTACAAGTTGCAGATTGAGGGACCGAAAAATCTAATTTCTTTCTGTATCTGCTTAGAAACAATTTTTAAATTAAATATATTCATCTATTCCTTTTGTGTTATACCATTTATTTAGCAAAAATGGTACCACTCTTACGTCCACTTTTATGTCCACATAAATGTTAAGAAGTCAGAAAATTAATAGCGTGGATTATTCCATGGTGGAGATACAATTTTTATAGAATCTGTGGCTTAATTCAGTTGGCCAGTTAGTTCATAAGGTTCACTGTGTTTTTAGCACTATGTGGTACATTCTTTCCTAGCATCCATGTAGCTTATCTGAATAATTTATTATTGGTATCATATTATTGGAGGACTTATGATCTGCATTGTTTCTCTATTACAAGAAATTTCACCTGCTCTGTTTAGAACTCACAGTGGCATTTGTAGAAAAGTTCTTATTTTTAAAGGAAAGGAAATAAAATAATGTCTATTTTAATATGTTCTGAGGACACAAATGTCTCCCTCTGCTGTTCAGCAGAACTGTTGCCTGTATGCATTAATCCTTCCTAATCCACTGGAGAGTGCTGGATGCATCGTCTCTTTTTTTGGGCACAGACTAGAGACACTGGGATTTTGAGGTGTCATTTATCTTTCAGGTGTCAAAATGCTTTGTTACTAGTAACAGAGTTAGAGTCCTACTGAAATTTGGAGATCCAGTTTGGAGAGATGCTGATAAATATGTCAGCTCACAACTCCCCTCTTTCAGTTGTCTGCCAGAAATGAAACAAGCTTAAAACAGTGTTTTGGTCTCTGTGACTCACACAAGGTGTCAGCAGGTGAAGCCACTGCACCCCAAAGGGCAGTGACTCCTTTGGCAGTCGGTACTGTGGGCAAACACAGAGCAGTAAAAGCTGACTGCCTTGAAATGTTCAGCTTACACTTGCTGTGTCTGGACTGCAAAGTGCCTCTGGTACCGTGCTGCTGTGAGTTTCCTCAAGGAAAACTGCAGTCTTGGTGTGTGTACTTTTGGGTAAGCTTTTATGTATTTTCTTGAGGCAAGGTCTAGGGAGAAAGAAGGAATCTCTCAATTTTTTGACTTGAACTTTGGAGTTGAAGGGCTGAAGAGTATGTGATTACTTCAAGGTAATTACATTGTTACAGAGTTAATTTTAATACAGTTCCTTTCAATAACTTATATTTAGTTTTCAGTGGTCTGATCAGATGCATTTCTTGCATGTATCAGCCTACTGAAATAAAATTTAATTGAAGGCTGCATTAATGACCTATACAAAATTAATTTATTGGTCTGAAAAAGGTAGGTCTCATTTGTCCATTGTTTCCTACTTGTGAAGCCTGTAGAAAGCAGGGATCTTATGTGCTGTATGGTTTTCTTCTCATCTTCCTCCTCCCCTTCCACGAATTTAGGGAAAATGATCTAACTTGTGCAAAAGTAAAGGAAGAATAGGAGAGAGTGCCTTAACTGTTTTGCTGCTTTTCTGGCACAACAGTTTTATCAATCTTTTCATCTCTCTAGAGTAAGGTCAATGACCTATTTTTAGTGACAGGTATGAGTACGGGAAAAAAAACCCAGCTGGTTTTGAAGTATTTGTTATGTGGAGTGATGCTGTAATCTCTCTTCTGAAAGGCAGCATCCCAGATTTCTGGAAAGAAATAAGTTCTGGTACTTCTCAGGCTACTTTGCTTCTCCTGATTTTTACAGATCAAGTTTTGTTCAGAAGTGTTATTTATAACTTCTGACTGAACAATTGCCAGTGTCTCTTGCTCCCCGTAGCCGTGTGAGTGCAGCCAGTGCAGACCTGGTTAGGTGCTGCAGAGCAGTGAGCTCTGAGGTGTGAACAGCTCAGTGTTCAGGTGGCTCACACCCAGTGCTCACACAGCCCTCCCATCTGTCCTTGCACTAGCAGCAGCACTGTGCTGGCCCAGTTCGTTCACAACATCTTTATTGGTTCATTGTTGACTTTAGGACTTGCTAACCACAGACATTCTGTTTCTCTTAGGTGAGTGTGAGGCAGGTTTTAAGCAGTTGTCCTAAGGTATCTGTGTGATAATCTTTGAGGGACACTGCTCTTTTGCTGTCAGTATTATTTAAAGATCTGGCTGTTCAGTCACTGAAGGTGGCAAAACAAATCTATCAGACCTTAGCACTCATTCACTATGTGTTTGTCCCACAGATGCACTTTAAGACTGAGCAGGCAGACTGCTCTGGCTGTTAGAGCTGGTTGGCCAGACTGACCCTGAGCTGCATGCAAACGTTTGGATGAAGAGTTCCTCTCTGTCCCAGTAATTTTGTTGCTTACTGTCTGGCCTTTAAGACCAGCTTTACTGAACCAACTGTGACAGCACTGAGTAACTTGGATAACCACTTTGAGTCACTTTAGATGCAGTTTTTGTGGAGTAGCCCAGACATTAGCAGAGTTCATTGAAACCATCATCAGTTTGCACATGGCAAATCTGGTATAGTATGTTTCTGTGTAATGCTGAGAATCCAGAGTGCATCGAAGGTTGGGAGGGATGCTGTGTGAGACTTGCAGTTCAAAGTTAGTGCACTAAGTAGGTGAGACAGTTACTGGTGGTATGGGCAGGTGCATTCTGCTCCAGCTCAGTGCAGTATGTTTGCAGTAGATGCAGAGACAATTATTAGAGATTCAGAGATTCTCTATGGCAGTCAAGTGAAAAACTTCATCTCATACTAATTTGTCTAGTCAGTGACTGCAACTGAAGTGTGTGTTGGGGATAAACCACAGGAGTGAAGTTGTCCTCCGGAAATCGGAGTTGGCAGTGACTGTAACCTTTTCAGGGGTTCTTGGTGTTCTTAGGGTCTTGGATGGCTGACAAACTCCTGACTTCAGTGGGGACTGAGGATCTGACTCCTGTTAGATCCTATGATAAATCTCTTTATGAGGATACTGCTGTGAGGACAAAAACCATGGAATGCCAGAAATCTGGGCCTATGTTCTCACCTGCCGGAGTCCCTGACTGTTTTTGTTTTCTGCTGTAGTGTCCAGCAGTCAGATGGGTGAATAATCCTATTATTTCCCGTCCTTTCCATGCAGAGAATTGGGGACTCGTACCGCGGCTATTGTGTGAGCGAGACAGAGTTAGAGAGCGTTCTCACGCTCCACAAGCAGCAAACACAGAGCGTGTGGGGGACACGCCAGTCTCCAAGCCCAGCCAAACCCGCCACACGGTTGATGTGGAAATCTCAGTATGTCCCCTATGATGGGATCCCCTTTGTCAATGCAGGTAACTAACTTTTATTTTAATAACTGCTTTCAAAATTTCAACTCCCAACTGGCCATAAAGAAGAATCTTTGTTGTTCCTTAGTTTGGATAAGGTCTAGACATAAAAATAAAAGAAGGAGCAGCTTGCACACTGCTGTGAGGATCTGAAGGAGCTTGTTTCTTTTTGTATGTTTTGCTGTGATTATTTCCTTTTGTCCTTTAGAGATTAGCTAATTACCATTTGATGGGAGTTCTTGTGATGAGGTCTTTAGGTGGAGGTCCCATCTGCTCTGTTAGGGCATGAAAGTTCTATAAGGGTAAGAGCTTGTTCAATTATTCTGCCCAACCTGATCTTTAGAAGAGTTTTTTCCACAGGAGTCAATTAACTATTTAAATTGCAATCATTAAAGTAATAAATACATAAATTCAAAATGCTGAACAGGCAAGATAAACATCAACAGGTATCAGCAGAGAGACTTTTGGCGTTTGGGATTCTTTTTGAAATGTACATGCAGACTTCACAGCTTGGTAGTTACATATTTAGCTCATGCAGTACATTTGTGAAATTACCAAGAGTTTAATTTGGATAGAAAATGAACGGGCTTTACTTGCTACACAGAGAAAATGAGTGACAGGAATGTGGTTATGTTTGGGGGTTTTTCTTCTTTTTTTTCCCTGAAAGTTACTGGAAAAGGGAAATGTTAGCACCAGTTTTAAAGCTTCAGCCATAAACTGTGAGATAAAAGAAAACTAAGAATAAAATGGCAATTTACCCTTTTTTCCCCAACATGTGAGATAGCTTCATCTAGATCATTTGGTATCTTGTGGAAACACATTTTATTGCTGTTACAGTACTTCAAAAGTTTCTGGGTATAACACTTGTGGCATGGGCAGCTCCTTGCCTGCATACTAGAGTACACAAACTATAAATAAGAGATAACTAAAGGTGATGTGGAAGAAATTTGGAAGATGTCTCTTTCTTGACCACTTTAATGCTTTGCTTGTCGATGCCTTTTGTTGGAGGTCTGACTGGAAGAAGTCACTTAATTCAAGTTTAGAGCAGAGCAGTATTTGTTTGAGCCTGTCTGGTTTTGTGTGGGTGTGCTGTGCTGAAACTGTGTTATTTAGCAGTTAGGATTTCTTAACTGCAAGGCTGAGCTTTTATGGGACAGCATGGTCCGAAGTGTTGATTTAAGCCAGGAGGGTGGAAATGGCTGCTGACCTTGTCTTGTGGTTTGACCCCAGCTGGAAATCACCACAGAGCTGCTCACTCATTCCCTCAGTGGGATAGGGGAGAGAATCAGAAAGGTAAAAGTGAGAAAAATCATGGGCTGAGATAGGAGCTGTTGAAAATGTAAAGGAAAATACACACACACACACACACACACCCCAGCAAAGCAAAGTAAGGAATTCATTCACAACTTCCCATCCCCCAGGACAGCAGGACACCATCATTTGTAATGGTTGCTTGAGAAGATAAACACTAACTCTGAATGTCCCCCCCACTTCTTCCTGCTTCCCACAGCTCTATATGCTGCATGTGGTGCCACATGGTATGGAATATGACTTTGGTCATTTTGGGTCAGCTGTTCTAGCTGTGTCCCTTCCCAGTTTCTTGTGTCACTCAGCCTCCTCATTGGTGTGGTGTGGTGAGAGGCACAAAAGACCTTGACTCTGTGTAAGCCCTGCTCTGCAGCAACTAAACATCCCTGTGTTATCAGCACTGTTTCCAGCACAAATCCAAAACACAACCTGACACTGGCTACTCTGAAGAAAGTTAACTATCCCAGCCAAAACCATGAAACCTTTGATTTCAGCTGGAGATTTTTCTCTGTTGTTTTGGGAGTTCTGCTTTTTTTTATTACCAGTATTGTGTTCCTTTGGTAGCTTGCAGGACTTCTCATCTTGTAAAGTATTGGTGCTCACCAGGGCAAAGTCCCATATTTTGCCTTCACATATATTGAGGACTGCTGTGAGGTGTGATAAGTTTGAGAAATGGTTTAAAGTGCTCTTGCATTCTGGGAGAGAAGCATTTGCATTGTATTTGCTTGCTATATCTGAGGGTTATGCCTTCTGAAGAGTCTGATGGCTAGCAGAAATAACTGCTTCAGAACTCTCATCTCTTCTGTAGTTAGTATTTTACTCTAATGAATTCAGTGATTGCTTGAACAGGGTGCATTACTTTCTGTTTCCAGGAAGCAGAGCCATTGTAATGGAATGCCAATATGGGCCAAGGAGGAAAGGATTTCAGCCCAAAAAAGCTGGTGAGCAGGAACACACCTCTGGCCAGCTGTACAAAGCCACTTGTCCAGCAAGGTAAGAATTATCTATAAAGCTGTAAGAGTGACTGAGCATCCTAAGAAAGCATTCTTTCTGTGAGCCATGACAGAGCACTGGTTTGGGATGGTAGCAAATACTCACTGTAACTCTTAGCTTTACCTCCTTGATAAGTCAAGGTTGATACTTATTTAGAGGTAAGGAGGAAATGCTGTCCTGTTTGACTGAATAAGGCTGAAATGTCATAGGTTCCCTGAATGCAAAGTAGCAGTACATCACTCTATGAAATAAAGTGGGATTCGTTATCTACCTGAGCATTCACAAGCTATTGTGGTGTCCTTCAGTGACTGTTTCTGCTCCTAAAACTTTGTCATTTTATTTGCTGTTTCTTCTTCAAGCTTTTAATTGCACTGATATCAGTCAATCATCCTAGTTTAGCACATACCCTGTGTGCTGAAGGAGTTAGTTCTTCCTGTTCACTGGGGGTTTTCGCCTTCTTCAACACTAATGGTTTTTTCCTCACCCTTGAGCATTCTCCTGGGTGCTTGTTCAGTTTTTACTGAGCTAAGAGTGTGTTTGATGAACAGTTGCATATAGGTCTGTACGTGCTCAATTCTTCATAGCTGGGTGAACTGCAGCCTGTTCACAATTGGTGTTGTGCTTTTTCTATGCTGAGGGACATGGGCTTTTGCTGAGGAGTAAAATCACTCTGGCTGAGTGGCTTCCAGTTCAGAGCAGAAGTGTGTCTGTCTGCATCTATATCTATAATGTATCCTTAAGAATTTTACAGTTCTTTTAGAGACTCCTCACACACTACATCACTGTGCTTGAACTTTTTCTATATTAGTGCCTGATATGAAGTAAGTGGGATTTTTGCCTTTCCCTTCCCAAGGCCTAAGTATGCTGATGGAGAATTTTTTTTATTCTTCCTTGGAAGGATCTATATTAAAAAGGTTCAAAAGTTTCCAGAATACAGGGTTCCTACTGACCCTAAAATTGACAAGAAGATCATAAGAATGGAGCAGGAGAAAGCATTCAACATGCTGAAGAAGAACTTGATAGATGCTGGTGGTGTCCTCAGGTGAAACTTCCACTTTTTTCTTTATTTTCACAAATGAAGCAGAAAAGAGCAGTGTTTTGCTTGGTCTTTTTTTTTTTAATTTCCAACCCCCCCTTTTTTTGTTTGTTTGTTTGTTTTTTGTTTTTACTTATTAATAATAAAAAATAATTAATAATAAAAAAAATCCACAGTGTCTGTAAGACTTCTGTGGCACTGAAGAGTATTAATTTGGCAAATGTGTTAAGCACTAGGCTATGGAACTTCAGCAGGTGTTTCCATGCAGGGTATCGATAGAAGTAGTTGTATAGTTTTGGGTTTGATCTAGTTTGTTTCGCATTGAAAGGTGTGAGAGGGCCCTGAGCTCTGAAAGAGATTTTCTAGCTTAAGGGCTGTAAAAATTCTCAGACTGCTCCCCCAAGACACTAATATTTTGCCTTTGTTTGAGAACTGTGTATATAAACTCTCTCCTTCTTGCTAGGTGGTATGTACAGTTACCTACTCAGCAAGCCCACCAATATCATGAAATGGAAACTTCCTGCCTCCCTCATTCACCATCCCTTCTTTCTATGTCTTCTCCTGAGGAGGAGGAGGAAGTCATTAGGGATGAGAACAGTACACTGCCTTCTCGACTTCATCCTCAAGTGGCAGACAAGATCCGAGAGCTGGTGTCTCAGGGAATAGAGCAGGTCTATGCAGTGAGGAAGCAACTGAGGTACAGAACTGTCTGCAGTGCTCTCAGTCTGTAGTGCTGTATCTACTTTTGTATTTGATTAATTTGGTTTGCAGCTAAAGGGCAGTGCTGGTGCATTACAGAATCTAATTCCCAGATGTCATGAGTCTGTTTTTCCCAGCTTTTGATATCTTTTCATATAATTGTAAATAGGCACTACAAGCTGCTTTACTCTTTAAAGTTACTTGAATAAATGGGGGTTCTAAATTCCAGACTCTGTAGCAGATGCACAAGGAACTGGCTCAGAAGATCATCTAGCTTGCTTTTGTCTTGTCATTGCAGCAAGAGGAGGGAGAAGGTAGCAGGGTCTCTTAACAATGGGAAATAGCAGAATATATTTAAGTATGCTAATAAATGTCCTTTAACATATGACAGAAAGTATGTGGAAAGAGAATTGTTCACACCTGATGAAGTGCCAGAAAGACATAACCTATCCTTCTTCCCCACTGTGAATGACATCAAGAACCACATTCATGAAGTACAAAAGTCCCTAAGGAATGGAGAGCTGGTGTATAGTTCAGAAAGTATCCCAGCAACGGTATGTTGGCCTTTGTGTATCTTTCTGATTTTTGGAGTTAAATACTGGAAGTCTTAATTTTTACCACTTAGCTGTATTTCATCCAAAATTCTCTGTGACTTTATATTTCCAGCAGCAATATTTTCAGTGGAATCTCTGGCTGAGCAAGATTGGATTAAATGTGAATAAAACCTTCTGACCTTGTTCGGTATTTATCTCATCAGTATTAGATTGCTGCTAGTTGGTTGACGAATTACACAGTATTAGCACTTCTTGATGACTGCATGAACTGGAAGCCATTGGTATAGAAAAATTGACAGGTGGCATAAAATTTTGTTCATGGCTTTGTCACTGTCTATGTTTTGAAGAAGTTACTACTACTTTTCAGTAGCTGAAAAAATGGAAATGAAGCGTGTCTCTGGTGCAGTCTAAATTAGGACTTAATAAACATTTTGTATGTATAAATAGTAATAAATGTACTTTATAGTAAGTGCAGTGAGCTTGGAGTTGAATCTTCCAAATGCTCAGTAACTCTTAAATCTTGTTCCTTAATTTCTTCCATGTATTGAGTCATAAAGGGTACACAGTGATCCTAGTTTTCCCAGACTAACCACTGAGAAATGGCTGATTTAAAATCAGCTTTGACAAACAGTATTAAATCATGCTGTGTCATCACTCTTTTCCCTCTCCCTACACTGGTGTAGCCCAGATGAGTTAGTGTGCTTGCTAGTCAAATGGTTTCACTATTTTCTAAGCAGGTAAGGCAGATAACCTTCCTGAAACACAGTGCATGTTTAAAAGTCTTTAAAGTCTTTTACAGTACTTTTTTTTTTGTGAATCAAGAGGTCCAAAAATGCAAAATTATAAAAAAGTAAGAAAATGTAGTTTTAGACACTATTTTCTTATCAGACCTGTATTGAGCCTGTAGACAAGCTTGCACCCTTTCTGAGAACTGAGTTCTTTCTCCTTTCAGCTGCAATGGACCACAGACAGTGGGAATGTCCTCACAGAAACAGTGACTGTTGCATTTGCCTCACCACCTTCAGATGGTAGGACTGCATATATAACCTGTCTGTATCCAAATGTGTTTTATTGACTATGTCATAGAAGTTCACTTTCCTTCCAGAGACGTTGCTATCATGTCCTGTCACTCAGGTGAACTTAAGAAGGATTATTTTGCTATAACTATTTTGATTTACTTTTTTTTCTATTTAACTGCATGTGTGGAAAAAAAGATGCGTAGTCATAATGTTGTTGGCAGAAGTATTAAAATTATAAACTTGGCTTTTATTTATCATCTTCAAGCAAACAAAAATTTTAATGGGATGATTGTCTGGAAAGAGCATTTTACCTTGAATGAAGGTGCTAGTAATAACTGTTTGGAGAGAATTAAGTTACTACTGATCAGATATGTCTGTCAGAGGACACAATCCTCAGGATCCAGCAGGGTATTTGAGTTTCCAGGTGGTTTGTGCTTCTCACATGTTTACATGTCTTGCTGAAAGGAACTTCAATGCACATTGAGACTCCTGCTTCTCAAAAGTCATTGGCCTGATGAGTTCCAGTGCTAGGATCAGGCACTGAAAAACAAGCATTGTATTTCTTTTGTTGGAATTGAGAGCAGTCTTTTCCATTTTTCCTTGGTGCTTAGAACAGAAATAGAAACACAGGTGTTAAGTGGCAGTAGGGCTGAGAGATGTTTCTTCAATTCTTTGTGGTGTAACTTCTTTATTAATGTGGCACCCAAATATCATCTCTTCCCAGTGATTGTTGAGCTGCAAAGTGTTAAACTTCTTCCCTGTCTGTTTCAAAACTAGAGTGTAGATAATGTATATTTCTATATAAACTTATTTTTACGCATTCTTGGTCAAAGGACTGGTTTTTTGGAAGATATTATGCTGTTTTACTTTTGTTGAAAGTGGGTTCCTACTACTATTACTTCAACTTCAAAACATGTACTAAGACAAAATACAGGTGTTTGTAACTAGATCTACTTGCTACCCACACAGTTAGAATTATACATAGGCTAAGATGTTCTGTTGGATTATGGTGGCTGGTAATAATTTTAAAATTAGATTATTCTGCCCTTCCTACCCTAGTTTCAAGAATACTTAGTCTAATGTGATACCAAAAGAACTTTTCCTCAGGTTAGTAGATGCTTTTCCCATCGTCTTTTAATAGGTTTGATGTGAAACTCACCAGAACTATCCCTGGCTTTTAGCAGTGAAGTGAGATGGAAGAGCCTAATTGTTTGCACACTTCTGCACACAGTTTTTCAGATCATACTGCAGACTTCACTGATGTTTTTAATCTCAGTAGCAGAGCCAGCTGCTTTTCCCATTTAACTGAAACATGATGGTGGGTACATTTTGTTCTAGACAGCTGATAGAGAAGTCTACAGGGACCAGAGGGGCACTGCCGCAGTTGTCATGTTCAGGATTTACTGGTGTCAACAGTTATCCTGTGGTTCTTGCCTGAAGAAATCCTGATGTGTTTGTGTCCCTTTCCCCTTAGGTCAGGGAGTGACATGGGCCAATTTCTTATTTGTTGTAACAGGAAATATAACCCCCCAGAGGTTTGGCTCACTGCGTGAGTTCTCCTCAACAACTTGGTGAACCTGATTTATGTGAAGCAGTTTCATGCACACCAGTGCATTTACTGTTAAAAAAAGGCAAAGGTTGGGCTATGTTTAATTTGGGATTTTTTAACTTATTTTGGCTGTTGTTGCAATGGATTAATTTGAACATAATACTGAAAAGCTTTAAGTATGCTTGGTGCTTTTAGGGAAGAATTCCAGTGTTTACAACTGTGAAAGAACAAGAGGTTAATTTTTAGACTCAGCTTGAACAGCGTCCCTCTTTTTTAAGGAAGTCCCGTTGTTTAGAAAAAAGAAACTTGCAATGTGAACAGACTTACTGTGCTTAAGCTTGCATGCCTATGTTAATATTGCCATTACTGTGTTTTTATGGAGAGACACAGGATAGTTGTGCCTTCAAAAGCTGTTGAGCTGTAGAGCACAGCAGGGATGCTGGAGAGCACTCAGAGAACAATTTTTGCTTTCTTTGTTTTACATAGAATTTTCTAAGACAAAGTAGCCTATCAAGTGTGTAAACATCCATCCAGTGACACACTGAATTTTGCAGGAAGCAAAAGTATGGGATTTGTTTTTAGTATTCTGCACATGTGAACCAGCTCAGTGAATATAAGCAGAAACACTTAATTGCAGCATGTCTCGTCTCCACTTATATGTGGGGGTATGTGTTTGTACACATTTCAACACGTTTATAACTGTATTAGAAAAAAAGAAGCCTAACTTCCAAAAAATGAGCTTTCATTAATGTTTGTGAAGGGGTAGCAAGGGAAAACAGCATTGACTTTTCAGACTACTCTTTGTATATGTATTTTTTTAAAATTCCAACTTGTGCCAAATGGAGACAACGTTTAAAAAATCAGGCAGTAACCGAACTTCTGTTTGTGCAGAACTCCCTATCTCCATGTGATACAGCTTTCTTTGTAGCAAATAGAGGAGGAGTTGAGCTATTACCTTTTTTTCCAGAGGTGTTGCTGTAGAATACAACCCAGGGAGAGAACTACTATCTCTTCCTGCATGTGAACATTCACATATGCATATGGGATCTCTGTATAATATTCAAAAGAGTCTGAATATTTGAAGTACTGGTGTTCAAGAAAATTTATAGATTTGTATGTATCTTCCGGTCAGTTATGGATAGCTAAGAGTCTGCAGGTCATTATATACGTTGAAAAATCTACCTCCACTCAGATTGCTGGAAACTTTTCTTAAAATTTTCTGATAGAAAATGTTTTGCAATTGATCATTCTCAATTTTTTTGCATTCACCAGACTAATCTGCATTCACAGGGCAAGTTCTTCTTTTACCTCTGTAACAGTGGAACTGAGAAATAAGCTGAGCAATATCTGCTTGTTTCTGCATAAAGCTTAACCAAAACGTTCTGGCTGGCTCAAACAGGAAATGGAATGATCTCATGAGAAGTTTTCTTGCAGAAATTGTTATAAGTGAATCTCAGTTTTCGCAAAACTTCAGGAAATGAGGTCCATCATTATTGCATTAAATAAGAATTTTGAGGATGTGATATAATCTGTAGACTGAAAGACCTCCAGATAAATGGACTTTGGATGATATTGCGTAGAAGTTTTGCTAATTTCACTGGGGAGACTTTTATTAAACAGGAAGAAAAGATTTGTCATAACTGTCTGCTTCCTCACTTTGGCACCATAGGGAGCTCAGGAGTGGAGTCAGTCATCACCAAAGCAGAATCCAACCAGAGCGGGGAGTCCTTGGTACCAGAAACAACTCAGCTGTTGTCTTCACTCTCTTCACTTCAGCCCAAGATATTTGCACAACTTCAGGTACAGTCAAGTCATTTACAGAGCATCAAACATGCTGTGCTGGAATTGCTGAAGGCGAGCTGAGAACAGCAAGTTCCTTCTCAGCTGGTCCCAAACATAGCTGGGTAACACGGACTTTGAAGTAGCTGTCAGCTCTTACTCTGGTTGCTCTTGCATGTCACATTAGCATATAACTGCGGTGCAGGGGATCCCACTACTGTCTTTTCACACTTTGAGGTTAGGGTCTCTTGTGAAGAAAACCAGGAGGATAAAGGCAGTGGGTTTCTACCTCAAACCAAGTACCTCTTCATTTTCTACAATGTCCAGTCATTTCATAATGAAAATGCTGCAAAACTGCAGGGAGATAAGACAGTCTTGTTCATTCCTTTTAAATCTTTTTCCTGCCTCTCAAGAAAGTATCTTAAAATCCTGAAACTGCTCTTGGCTCAGAGCTGTAAACTTGCAGGTTGAAAGGCTGAAGAGGGAAGGATAAGAATGTCATGCTAAAAGAGCTTCTTCTAAAGCTCATCTCCCTTCAAAGCTGGCTCTCTTATCCTTCTTCCTTAACTACTTTGAAAATCTGCCTTCATGTTTCCTGAACCCCAATGAAGTGTATGATATTTTCTCTAGAAATACAATCTGTAGTAAGATTCTGTTCTACTTGCTGTTTCCTCTTTTTCTGAGGACAGCCTGGCTCCACATCACATAATTTTATTTGAAGCAGTGTGCTTAGCTTGTAGTAGCCACCTCTTGTGGTAATGGGCGGTACTGGGGAATGATCTGAAACCGAATATCAATCCAAAATTAGAGCTTTATTGTCATAAGCAGTCTTCTAAATGCTGCTGGATTCGACTGTCCTGATTGTTTTCAAGTACATTTTGAGCCTGGAGTTGCTGGGATTGAGTGTTCAGAAGAATTAATGAGTGGGAAGTCAGAAGCTAGCTAGACAATACATGCTGTTAAATGCAGACTCCTGCTGTAAGTGCTGCTCTGTTGGTACTTCTGCCTTCTGTTTCACAGGGATTGCAGCTGCAGTCAACATTTACCTCGACAAACGGATCATCAGCCCTGCTAGCTGTAAATAACCATTCCCCTCCCAGCCCTGCAAGTCTCCTGGATTCCCTGGGGGGTGCAATAAGCAGCCATTCTCTAGCACTGAGTCAGGAGCATGGTCTGCAAGCAGGTGCTGGCCTAGCACAGGACAGTGCTGCTGCGCCTGCTTTTGGGACTCTGCCTGGCTCTGATCACAGTCTGGTTGCCATGGGCCAGCTGGTACCGGCTGAAGGGGTGGATGACTCCAGAAGCCTGGAAGGAGGAGCACATCAGATTTTCCTGGGAGATGTACAAACTATTCCAGTAGGGATTGTGGACAGCCAGCCAGCACTTAGTAAGTTGCAGTTTTCTCAAGAATATGTGAATATAGAAAATATAGTGAATTTTGTTCTGTGTGTCTTGAAGAAAGGAGACAAATGTGTTGATAATGGGGAACTCCAAGGCACACTTCTTTCAGCCAATTCTAATTAGTTTTTTTGTTTTTCCATGGGAAAGAGGAAAGACGTTTTGTGTGAAAGTGATTTTATGTCTCCAGACATTTTACTTTTTTTATAAATTGTTTTAAATATTGTTACTCGAGAGGAGCCTCGCTGCAGTAAGTTCACGTCAATTTGCAATATTTTAGAGCACAGTAGGTAACATAACTGGCTGTCAAGCTAAAAAGCTGTAAACTTCATATATATGCCTTAACTATTAGCTTGAGTTCCTGAAATGTTTTTCTTTTAAATGCACAGCTATTGGGGTTGAAGCATTGTCAATGGAGTTTCAACTTCAGTGTTTGATTTTTGTTTTGTTTTTAAGCTGAAGAAAATACAGAGGGTATTGTTAACCCTGTGAACCAAGCTAAACAAGAACCAAGAGAAAAAGCATTGTCTATGGAGACACGTAAAATCAGAGACTGCCACAGTTCCTCACCATAGTTCTTCGCCTTCACCTGTGAAGCCTGGAAGGATTTTTCAAATTGGAGAACTCTAAATGTCTTGGAAGGGAAGGCAAGTGCTCTCAAAGTACTGCCATTCTTTTTAAATTGTATTATGACATTCAGACTAAGCATATTTTAGAGTACTGACAGAAAGCTGTTTTGGTTTGACTGATGTGACTCACTGCCAACTCCAGGTCATTCAATTGCCCTGTGGAGCACCACCTCTCTATTCTGTTTCAAGTTTTGAGTAATTTGGATTCTATCCAAATGGCACATTTTGTTCATTGTTTCTGAAGGTCTTCCACAATTTAATTCCTTAGCTTTAGAATGTGGATCACAATGCTGGGTTCACATTTTCTCCTTGAGACCCTTGACTCTTACTGCACTAGAGAGACCATAGAATCTGTCAGCTCCAAGATCACAGAATCCAACAGCAAAATGGATCAGTATGGCAATGGTTTTGTGACAAAAGGAAGGTCCAGGATGCTAAACTTCAAAGGGATAAAGAACGTGGATGCTTAAGAAAATGCAACTTTGACCTGATCATAATGTTAATGATGTGAAGATCAAGGAGAGGAGAAAGGTGAGGTTGCCAGGTGACTGGAAGGATGTATGATAAAGGAAAGTGTGTGAATTGTAATGGTGAATGTTTTTGACTTGACAGCTTTGAGCTTAAGTTCTGGCTTTATAATGAGCTTCATTGATGCATGCAGCCTTCCTTTGCAGCACTTCTGTATTTGCAGTTGGTCATAACAATGAAGGAGTCTTTCTCATGGAAAATGATTGATACTGCCATTTCAGCTTACCTGCTCTTGCTTTGTGTGCTTAAAGCTATCAGCTCAGACAAATGTGCTGTTGTTTGCTATGTAGGGTTTGTAGGGATACATTCCTGACAAGGAGAAGCCCAAGAAAACAAAGGAAGTAATCAAAGCAATATGTCCAAATATGCTGTCACCACAACATTCAGAAAACAAACTCATCTTTTTCAAAAGTGACATATTCTAAGACTTAAGTGGTCCATACAATTAAAACAATTACCAGGAATCTTTAGAAAATGGAATGTGATAAAAATTAAAATTTTAGTAATATTTGAGTTAAGGCCATAGTAAGTGACAAGCACTGAGCTGTATAATGTGTGACAGATGTTTCCTGAGGGAACAAAAATTGCACCTACAAATATCTTGGAATCAATTTAAACATGTAAATTGAATAAAACTGATGCCAACATAAATATCAAGTTAAGCAATTGCATTGTTTTCTTCAGATGTTGAATTGCTAGAGCAACATTCAGAGTAGTTTGTATACAGTGAGAGGAGCCTTTCTGGTTTAAGTTCCTAATAAGTGATTGAGAGCTTGATCATAAAATTAAATAAGAGCCAGTATTTTATCATGCAAGTGCATTAAAAATTCTCCAGTTTTTTCAGAGCCACTAATATTTAGTATCTACACTGATTTGTTTTATGGTATGCTTTACTCATTTCTGGCTAGGAAAAATCCCACAAGTTCACCTTTGGCGTTTATTTATTTGGTTGGAGTTTTAAATTTTGTTTTATTTGTTGTTTTTTTGGTAGGTTGTTTTGCTAATTGTCAGAATATCTCCCTGGTGGATGTTCTCTGCTACAGTGTTAGTTCTGGAGCCCTCAGCCAGCAATCCCCTTTTCTTTTCCAGCTCAAAAATGGCATACTGGAATGGGTACCTCCTTCCCTACTGCTGTATTCAATAATTCCATCACAGCCAGTTTTTCTTAAAGTTTACACTAATACGTTCCAACCTATATTCTCTTTCTCTATATTGCTCTTTTTTTTTGAGAATTTTTCCTCATAGTTGAGAATGCTTCTTTTCAAAAGAAAAAATTACAGCTAAATATTACCAGCAAGAGGCTATTTCCGTTTCAGTTCTCTTCAAAGCAGACAATACATTTGTGATTGGAGCTAAAAGCTAAAGGAAAGACAAGTTACATTTCCATCAGTTCCTGCTTAATTCCCTCATTAAGAGTTCTGGTTTTAACATGGTTCTTTCCACCATGAGCTACAGTCTCATCCTGTGCTGCACAGAATTTCCGACAGTATTTCTGGTTTTGACCTAATGCTCACAGCTGGAGAAAAGACTCTTCTAGCCCATCTTGAATTGCAGGCTCTGAAATTAATTTTGTATTATATCCTGATTTGCTTGGTACTCGGAAAACAATAGAAGAAGAAGTTGGAAGATTTTAAAAGAAGCAATAAAGAATTAGTTGTTTTTAAAAACAGGGGATTAGACTTGAAATTCCGTTTATTGGAAAATTTATTTTAAATTATTCTTCAGCCAATACTCATATTTTTGTCTTCAGTTTTCTTCATTTTCACAGAAGTTCAGTTCATTGTCTTCCAAATACATATTTCTGTTTATTGCTGTGTTGGTTTTATTAATTTGATGTATTTTTTTTTCCAAAGTGTATGTTTTACATTTGTTTTGTGCATGTTGCTAGAGGAGGAACACGAACTCATCTCCTATGTCCAGTCTTAAAATTCCATTTAATTCCTTTGTTCACTAATATCCACGTAAATTTTATGGAGAAGACTGTTATGTATTTTTAAAAAATCAGAAGTAAATGCTGCCACATTCAATGGTTAAAGTTGTTTAAGTAGAATATGCAAGGCTGATTTTTCAGAGTAATCTATGCAGCTTGATGCAAAGTAGTTGGTTATGACTTTGTGTTGGAATTGTAGATGTTTTTCTGATGCTTACTTTGTTTTCTTGTGGTTGCTGCGTGCAAACATTTATTTTGCAAACCTGAAATTCCTGACCTTCAACAGTACTGTAAATGAACAATTGATTCTCCAGTTATCTTTGTTGTTGGCTGTCCGTAAGAGTGATTGGTTGCTTTACAAGAAGAGATGTGCTTCTGTAAGTGCATGCAAAAATAACCTTTTGGTAAAATGTAGAGAAGGTGTAAAAAGGTATACACCCCTAGCTCTTGTTCAAGGCTGGAGGCCTCTTGGATGGAAACCAGTGCTGGTAATGAGCACTTCTTGTTGTACAAAATTATTGCGGTTTCTACAAAATTTAGAGGCACAAATATCTGTATATGTATGTGTATATATATTTTTTTTCCTATAGTAACTTAATATATAATATTCCTATTCAAATGTAAACTTCTCAGTCTTTTAAAGTAATGGTCTATTTTGTGGTTATGGGGGCTCATGGGGAGAAATGCAAGAGTTCTTTCAGGACAGTGGATTTTAGGGATGATGGAGAACAAGTAGGATAGCTCCAGGGAGACCAGGTGGAAGAAGTTTCTGAAAAGCAAGAATTCTGCTGGGAGGGCTGGTGGGGCTGTTCTGGGGGGCTTTGGGGTTGAGAGCCCAAAGGCTCAGTGCAGTTCCTGAGTTCCTATCCATAGTCCTTTCTATGCCAGCAGTGGATAGTGTGAGTTCGTGGTAGGAATTTAAAAGTATGGAAGAGAAGGGAAGCCTGCCCTGCCCTTAAAAACAGAAAAGTTGCTTGAGTTTTGGTGAGCACCAGAGGCAGATAAATGACTCCCCGTAACCTGAGGTGCCCATTCTTAGCTTCTAATATGAAGAAGAAACTCCTCTTGGAACTTCAGCCCAGGGCTGTAGACTCTTTCTTTACCTGTTACCAAGGAAAACAAGCCTTTTCTTCCCAGCTGAATTAACCTGCTGCTTTCCTCATCCCACTGACTGCAGCTCAGTATCTGCCCAAATGTCTCTTCACACTTAATAAGGCTTCCACAGAAATCCCATGCCCTCAGGCCCTTCAGTTCTCAGTGTTTCACTGTTGGACTGTTGAAGGAGCTGCTGAGTTCACTGCATAGGTAAACACAGGTGAGCTTTGCCCCATCAGTTTTTCCCCCTCCTTCCCCACAATTATTAGTACATATGTTCCTTTAAATTGCATTAAGTTTTTTTACTTGCTTGCTTAGAGGTCTATCATTACCAGAAGGAATATGAAGGAGCCCCGTTTCACAGACCATTTACATTCACAGCAACTGAAAAGATTTGATAAAACAAGGAGGAAAGGTGGCTTGTGCCAGCTGTTAGGGCTGGCCTCTTTCAGACCACTTGAATTCCTGATTCTGGCTGTGGATAGTAGCTGCCTGTTAAGTTGTCTGTCTCTTGGTAAAAGTGCAATTTTCTCCCTTAAGCCTATTGAAGCAGATAGTTCTCAGATGTTTAGGTAGGAAGAATCTGTTCCATTAGGGATAGAAAGTGTGATACAGATGTGGATGGTGCTGGGAAAAGTTACTGCTCTTTATGGGTCTCTGATGAGAAAATTGTCTTTGATCTGCCTTGCCTTTCTGAACAAAGCTTTCATAGGAATAGACTTCAGAGCCTATCCCATCAGTAACAATTACCTTCTCCCAGCAACAATGCACCTCATTAATGAATGAAACAAGCCTTGTGTAAAAACAGGTGGTGTTGATTTTTTTAGGTCAGAAGCTATCCCGCTGGTCTATCCAAGAGCAGCAGCTAAGGTATGATTTGGGGGGGAAAGGAGGGGAGAGCAAATAACAGGAGTGTATGTGCATGCATTTTTTCCCCCCAATATTAGCTCTTACATCTTAGTATCCCATTCCATTCTTGATGCACGTGACAAATGATGTGTTTATTTTCTGAAGGGATTTGAAGTGTTTTCTGGAGAGTCTTCAAAGGAGTGATCATAAATAGTACTGCTATTACAGTATCATACAAACTACTGGTACATGTTTGTCAACTCGGACCCCATTTTGTTCTTGTACAAAAGGGGTTTAAAAGCATGGAAAGCTTTACGAGGAGACAAGTACTGAGCGTCTTTGTCCTAATAAGTCTTCCCTGAACAGGAAAATGGGAGCTGTGGGAGTAATTCTCGTCAGTAGTCTGGTAGCCTCTGATAGATAGAATAAACCTTGCAAAAAGCGTGTATATGATAGCCCCTTACACAAGTTACCTTCGGATACTTAATAGTTTTAAAATACATACACATACATGCATAAATGTATGTACTTCAAAATGAAATGCTGACATGACTATAGTTGTTTGCACATAGTTCTTTAATTACAGTTTAATTACACTTATCTGCAGTTAAATAATGCAGATATTTTAGGGCACATGTCATCAGATCTTTTAATGTGGATAATTGAAATTCATGTTTTTACTGCAACCATCCTTTGCTCTCAGCAGCGCAGCTCAGTTGGTCATTTGGCATGTACTGGCTTCTGTTAATGACATTCTGCCTGTTTAAACAAGAGCATGCTGTTCTAAGCAAATTAAATTTCTCACTCTTCCTGATCGTTTTTCTAATAGGGATTGATAAGGCTCATCATGAAAATCTGTTTGTAGTATAAGAGTTGATTTCTGGGTCCTCACTAGGAAGGAGCTAGACAACAAAAGCTTACATACTATAGGATCTGCCGTTTGGACATCTGTCTAATGTGCTTGGATTTCTATAGCAGGACAGTGTCAGTACAGCATAAACTGCCACTGAAATACTGTAAAAATTTCAACTCTCTCCCTTGGTCAAAAGTTGACAGTTCAGTGGCTCCAGGAAAGATGATAGGAATACTGCTCTTCAGAGAATAGTTTCTGTCTGTAGATACTATTTAAAACATAATTAGGTGTGGCAATCAAGTGGCAGTAGAGGTGTGTGTTGGCAGATGAACGAGAGAGGGAGTTCAGTCCCAGTGTCCTTGTGGCAGACTAACATTCTCTGTGCCAGTCCTGAGAGCACCCTTGAGAAACAGTGATTGTCTTTGTGTGCTGACACAGCTGTTCTTTCTGCTTGCCCACTCAAGAAGTTCTACAAGCCTTCAAGGGACATGGAGAGCACGAAGGTGTGTAAGATCTTATGAGAGGGCCTGCAGGAATGAAACAAAGGGGAATAAAGTTTGATGGCATGACTTCTATGTAATGCACATTCTTTGGTGAGAGGAAGAGGATTTTCCAATAGAAAATAAAATTTATCTTCCTTTTAGAGAAGAGAATATTCTCTAATTCCTATTAGAGAATAATATATATCTTCCTTTTCAGAATATTATTATTACTGCTGACTCTCTAATCTGCTTGACAATATGCCTAGTGTTTGGACCTCAATGCTTTTGATTGTGTCCCAAAATATTAATGAATATTCATTCATACATTGCCATTTTGCATATCATACTGAAACTGTAGGCCAGTGGCATCTCCTGCTCTCTTTATTACCTCTGTGCATTTTCCTAAAGTAAATTAAAGCTTGTTTTATAAAAGAGCAGAGAGCTTTTATCCAGAGCCCTTTCATATATATATACACTTTTCACAGAGTAAGCTTTAACTTAATAATATTGTATATTTTTAACCCTTTGATAACCTAAAATAACCAAAGCCTTTTCACTTTTTTTATCCAGAACATGAAGCATTCCAAACTACTCTTCAAAACCACCATGCTCAGAGCCTGAAAGGTTTGGCATTTTTCTTGCTCTGTAGGTGATCCTCCATCTGTGCTGTGTTCAGTGTCTTGCACATAACACAAGAATCCATAGTTAAGACCTATCCTATCACATGAGGGCACTTTTTCATTTCCATAATCTTCCTGGTCACTTGACAGCCTGTCAGTAACAATATCTGCAAACCAGTTTTTTTATTAACATCTGTCACATCTGTTCTAGATGTGGCAAATTTTCTTTGTGCATGGAATTTGCATTGGTATAGTGAAACCAATAGTGTTGTCAAAAATGGTCAAGTCTCATGAACTGAGAGCCTTCTGTTGTGAATTTGATCTTAATCTGAGCTCTGTCTGAGCTAGGGACAAACTGAGGCTATGCCCCTGTGTTCTGCTATGTTTGTTGAGCAGAAGAAAAACTTTCCAGCTCCTGAGAACAGCTGCATTTGTGTTTCTGCCTGATGCAATGCTACTCATAATTATCTCTTGAAGGATGGCTTATGGAATTCTGCTTTCCAGCTTAAGGGAAGATAAAGTTTCTATGTGTGAAAACTTGGTGGAAAATGTACAGAGTTGGGAGCACCTAAAGCAGTCACCCTTGGGTGTACTTAATTTAGGAATAGGAGCTGGTAGAAGGAATAAGCAACTGAAGAATATCATGATAAAAGTAGGCATTCTTGCTCTTTACATAGCATTGCCCTTACACAATACTTTTTTCTTAAATATGTTCCTTGACAAACACTGGTCAGAAGTGAGAAGAAAACAAATCTCAATTTCTCCCCACTGCCAGCTTACAGTTTAACATGGCTTCTGGAAATTAATCACAAGAGGGGCCTAAAATTCCATCCTAGATCTGAGTTTTGCTTGGTCAGGTCACTGTTAAGTTACATAAACTTAACTTTTTCGAATAGCTGTTTCTTTTAAAACTAAAATTAAATGTGAGATAGAATTGGAAATTTTGTTTCTTGCAGAGGACACTTCAATTCTCTGAAGTGTGCAAGTGTTTCCCCCCCTTGTCTTCCACTTTTATCTCTTAGTTCACTATGTATTGGCTGTTTTCTCAGGATCACTTACCTCTGAGAGTACTCCAGGTAACTGTCAAGAGACCAGAGCAGAGAACAGAAGAGGAAGAGAAGTTTTCAAAAAGCTGCTTGCAGGAGATAGAAAGCTCTCAAAGCTACAGCTGAAGATAGCAATTTCTTACGGCTGAAATGGCTCACTTTAGATGGTAAGTGGTTTTTTTAATATACTACTTTTCAATTGTTGATTTTGTTACTATTTATGCTCTGAACTCGCATCTAATAAAAGCTAGAATGGTAATTGTGTATTTTTCTTTTATCTTCAGTGCACTAGTTATCTTGTGAATGCAAACTGATCTGATAACTCCACGTTTCTGGCTGTTGACAAAGCTGTCATCACATCTGTGGTGTTCTGTACATGGAAGCAGATGGAGGAAGTGGGAACCTTCTTGACCTTACTTGTACTGAGAACAGATGATCTGTGGAAAGAAGGCTTTACCAGTTAAAATCAATATCCTCACAATAATTTGGTGGGTGTACAGGTTTTTCATGCCAGGTGCTAGTGCATGTCTGACTTTGTACATAATGCAAGCCATAAAATTAACCTCTCACTGGCCTAGTCATATTTTTGTTGTTTCCTACCACTCATTGCTTTTTAGGAGTGGGAAAATTGTTTTAATATGTTATCATTTTCAGTTTTCTGCCTTTCTCCTGTTGCTTCTTTCTCTTACCCAGAGCAGCACAGAAACAAATTTCTCATTTTAAAAAACTTCTCTATCCTCAATTTCCCATATTTTGGGGCTTCCTCTTTGCTTTATTGTGCTGGAGTTTGATTTCTTACATGACTGAAATGTAAGATACCATTGTGTTTTGCTTAAGGAATGAGAAATACTGGGGTGAGCTTCACTGCAGAAGTCCTCAGAGGAAGCACCTGCTACAGGTTCTGCTCCTGCACCTGCATCTCCACAAAGGCCAGCACAAGCACAGAGCTGTGCCGATGACAGCAGTGTCTTGCACTTCGTGTACCAGCACGTTATCAGTACAAAGTTATTGCTGTGAATCCAGATCAGTCTGTGGGTCTGCCCCACTGTGTCCCCACAAATGACTATTTGGGCACAACTTGAAAGAGAGCACAGGAGACAGCCAGCAAGTTCTTAATATTCAGCTTTTAGTTTGTGCTTCTGTGTTGAGTTCAGGTGCCCTGGTGTGGGTGGCCCTGTGCAGGACACAGCTGGTTCCAGGCAGCTCTGTAAGGAACCACAGGACACAGCCGAGCACATGGGTGGAGCTGGGGCACCTCTGTGGAGGTGTCTGTAAGAAAGGGCAAAATGGTGCAAGGCAGAGAAGAGTGAGGAAGAAGGTGAAACAGTCCTCTGAGCACCAAGGTGAGAGAAGAAGGAGAGGGAGGAATTGCTTCAGGTGCTGGAGCAGGTGTTTTCCCTGCAGACTACAGAGCCATGAGCAGGTGCAGGTTTTTCTGAAGGAACTGTGGTCTGTGGAGAGGAGCCATGCCAGAACAGGCTCTTGCTGAAGGACTGCAGCCTGTGGAGAGGACCCATGATGGAGCAACAGAAAGAAGCTGTTACAGACTGACTGCAACACCCATATTCCACTTTGCCCTGTGCTGCCTTGGACACGGGGGAACAGGGAAATTTGGGGTTCAAAGTGTGAAGTTGAGTCTGAGGAAAGAAAGCAACAGAAAGGGAATGTGCTGTTTTAATTTGCTTTTGTTTCTCAGTGATTTAATGTATTTTAATTGGCAATAAATTAAATTAGCTTTCCTCATATTGATTCAAATATTGCAATTTACATCTGGACTCGAGTCATGGTGAAAAAAACTGATTTCTCTTTGATCACTGCAAGTCACTATTGCCTTTAATTTTTTAAGTAATCAGATTTCAATTTTTATGAATTCATTCTGTGTGAAGGAAGTAGTGTATCTTGTCTGAATCAGGAATTGCATTTCTGAATGTATTCTGGTTAGGCCTTTCAAGTTCAGCATACTCACCTCTTCACCAGAGTAGATCTCAGGTGGAGAATTAACTCAGGAACATGTCTAATCCGTTCTGTTTCAGCTGAAGAAGAAATACCAGCCATATTTTCACCCGTTTGAGCATGGAAGAGTCATTCTGAGGAGAGGATGCTGCAGCAGTAGATTCTACTTTATCTATTTTGATAAAGCTGTTTTTACAGGTGTTAAGGGTGTGGCATCTTCCCAGTGTTATGTCTAGCAGTGCTTCAGAATTGGGCCAAGTTTGTGGTGAGTGGCATCTTTGGTGAAAGTGGTGTAACTTTGGGAAAAGAAATAAGCAGAGTTTGGGAATGAGATTTATATTCTTGTGCTTTTCAGAGATTTTCCTGAATAAGAAGGGAACTTCCTTTAGAGGGTAAGTTTTATGTGTATGTTCTTACACCTTTGGAAAATACCTGGTACTGGACACCAGGGGTATCTAGACAGGTTACTAGGTGACATGACACACTTGCTGGTTTATAATGGGTGCACTGGAATATAAAATTGATGGATAGCTTCTTAACATTAGCTAAATTAATTTTTTTTGTCCTCTCTCTTCACATTTCACTATAAAGAGAAGAGTCTCTGTTAAAGGGAACGTGGTGGATTGTTAGTTGTCCATAAAACTGTTTATGAACAGTTAGATGAGAAGGACTTCTTTGATAATGAATTAGATGAGCTTTGGAAAGAATTACACTGTCACGGTAACTTCAAGTATTTTCTTCCAATGATATCACTCACTATTGATTATTGTTTTACTGTTTATTTGCTGTATAATTTATTTGTTAAGTTTTTCTGGCCATATCAGAGCCATAGAAATAATACATATGGCAATTCTCTTTTCTCTTGAAGTTTTATAAAAGGGAAAGGAATTTTTCGTTTTGCATTTAGCCATCAGCTGCTCTGGAGAAGTCCATGATTATCTGTGTTCCATAGCTACCAAAAAATCTTTTGTGCTGAAGTGTTCCATAAATTTGTGATTTTTCCTTGGATCAGGCAAAGTGAATCTGGCATCTTTAAAAAAAACAAAAGCCAGAGTACACTGGAACCAAATTTAGCATCTTCAGGAGCTGTGACCTAGGATTCATCAGTTGCAATTGTGAAAAGATTGATGTTTTCATAGTGAAATGTATTTATCCATCTAGTTTAATCTACAAACAAAAGTGTCTCTATTCCTCTTATTTCAGACTTCTGAATTACTTTGCAAAATGAGAGATCGCTAGTGAGATTAGCTAGTAACTGCAAAAATGGCAGAGTTTCACTGAGGACAGGTGCTAACAATATGTACCATAAAGTCAGCCACCATAATTGACATTAGTAAGGTATGATCATTCAGAGATTAACTACAGGCTAACACTTTTGGTGGTACACTGATGTTTATTCTGATCTTGCAAACAAAAGTAATGTTTATGAGCCATTGCAGAAAGAATTGGAAAATAAAGCACTTTGTAGAATGTCTGTGGTGGTTTGGTTTCTGTTGGCTCTGTCAAGCTTTCACTTGGTGTTCATTCCACGGTGTATCCATTGTAGGGTCTGTTTTATCTCATCTCTTACGTGGAGTAAGTTAAGTTAATAGTTAATATTTAGAGCATAAGACACAAGTACTTCGTGGCAAGTTATGATATTTCATGTGTTTTCTAACAAACAGTAAAAGTTGAATATACTTGATAATTACCAGAAGACATTTGAGAGAGACTTCACATGCTGCATTCACTCTTCTTGTCCATGTTTCGGAATTGATGAATTCCCTTTTCTTTGAGAGTTGTCAGGAGTTTTTAGCAATGAAATTACTATTTTGAAATTAACTGTAGTTTCTTGCCTGCTGTTAAAATAGTTTCAAGTAGGGAAACCAGGTTTGTATTTAATTTTGAATGGCCAGAATTTCCAAAAAGAAGAAACACTGGAGCCACCTCTGCACTCAGAGAAACGCTACTTTTTGGGCATAATGTTACAAAGGTCAACAAAGTTTCCAGAGAAGTTTGACTGGCATGCTAGCTAAGGATAGCATGGTGTGAAGCAGTGGTGCTGCCTGCTCTGAAATGCCTGGAATACTTTCTGTGCATTATTCAGTGTCTTGCTGCTGACATACCAGTGAGATGATAAGAAGAGGAGAGTCCATGATAAGTGTTTCATTTAAACTCAGAAACAGAGGCAATGGCTGGCATATTTAAAATTTTTCACAGGTGAGTGTTCTGAGATATTTGAGGAGTGAAAAACTGTTGGGATTTTCTCTCTCTCTCTCTCTCTCTCTCTAGCATTGTCTGGTAACTAAAGATATGTTCAACTTATTTGGAGAGCTTCCTAGGATCCAGGATCAGGTAGTGCTAATAATATTACAGATTGGTAATAGTGATATTTGCTTGTTTTTTTCAGATTTCCAGTTTCTGTCACTTGCTTTCTCCAGGGAATTTTTGTCAGTACATTCCAATGGCACACTGTCTCCACTATGTTGGAGTAGTACTGTTTACTAACTTAGAAAAAAATTTCTTTCCCATTACTGAGGTGATTTACAGAAAGGTTACTAGAGTTGGCTGTCTAGATAAAACTGTAGTCTTCTGGAGATGGAATTATTTAAGGCTGCTGAGATGGCAAAAATGGCATAATATGGTGAGTACTGAGATTTTGAGGAAGCAGGGGAACAATTTTTTGATGTTTCCATTCTTGAAGTATAGCATTCACCAAGGCTGAAGCAGAAATTCTTTTGCATGGGTCAACCAGAGTTAACCGTCCTTGCCCACAGAGTAAGAACTGAATTAGGTTATTGGCTACTTGACCAGCACTTACTCCAATTCCTTCTTGCCATTTTAGAATGAATGGTTAACTTTTGGCTACCTGAGAAGTGCAATTTCACAGCCGAGTACTTTAGCTCTCATGTAGGCAACAATGAGCTGTGTCAGAAATTCCTCAAAGAGAAGCAGTGGAAAATACTGTAGAAAGATCTGAAATCCCGGAGCACGAGCCAAGCTGACATTGTGGACCTGAGCACAAGCTATCAGAAACCTCCAAAACTCTCTCAGCAGCACACACACAAATTTGTTCCTGTTCACCCCAAATCAGAAAAGAAGTCTCTACTTAGACCACATACCAGGTTGAAGTTAATACCACATCCCAATTTAAGTAGGTTGCTTGAGAAAGCAGTCTAAAAACAATGATGCAGTCAGAAATTGAAGCTCCATTTTTTAAGAGTAGAAGCTGAAAAAATGAATCTGTGTTCAAATCTCTAAATCATATTCTCCATTAGGAGGGAGATGGGGGAAATAATATTTACCTGACTATTGCTATGTAGTGTAATAGATAATAGTCTGATAAATTTTGTGCCAGAAAGGAATGTTCATAATGCTTTGAAGCACTGGGACCAAAAATACCATTCTTTTGGAATTTTGATTTAGTTCTATTTTTAATTTTTCCATCTATATTTGCGTGAGCTGATGGTTTTATATATTCTATGAGGAAAGCAGGCAATTTTTTGATTTTGTGATGGTTGGTTCTCATTGCTAATGCACATCTTGACCTTC